TTGTTTCTTCGTCTCTGCCTCGGATCGCTTCGCTCTGACTGGGGGAAGCGGCGGCGGCGGCAGGCCCAGTGCGCCTCACGTGACCAGCCTTCTAGGCCGCCCAGCGCCACCGGGGGGCGCCGGAGAGCTACCTACGACGGCGGCGGCTGCCTTCGCTCCAGCTCCCAGCCATCTTCGTTGCGGAGCGAACGCCGGGTGCAGCCGCGCTTCCATTCTCTCGGAAAGCATCCCGCCTCGCACATCACCCCAGACACCTGTTAGCCCCCTGTAAGGGAGATTTCCTTTCTTTCCCCCGCCCGTACGTCGGCTTACGCCCTCAGCAAGCACCATCGCTTCTGATAATGGTTTTTCAAGCCTTGGCTGCTCCGTATTTACTTCCTGAAATTGCTTCAGATTCAGAGCCGTTGCCTTTTACAGCTTGCCGTCCGAAGTTGTAGGGGCTTCATCAATGGAGGTTTTTAAGAAGAGACTGGACAGCCACTTGTCTGAAATGGCATAGAGTGTCTCCTGCTTGAGCAGGGAGTTGGACTAGAAGACCTCCAAGGTCCCAGTTATATTCAGATTGATTGGTTTCTTCACGCAAGGTATGCAAAAGTGTCAGGCTGGTTTCAAAAGAGGTGGCATGGAAATGCAATGACAAAATTATGCCTTCCTTGGCCCATTACTTTTGTCATGGGGGGGAGAAGGAGGAAGAAGAGGAAAGAAGACAGGAAGAAAGAAGGAAGGAAGGAGGAGGAAGTACAAGAAGAAAGGGAGGAGATGAAGTAGGAAAGTTCAAACCTCAAACAAAGTGATAATGCATCTAATTGAAATGCTTTACATATTCCAGACTTAGAAGATCGACCTTAATCCTGGCAGCTACTTCCTGTACTTACTTATCTACTTGTTGGAGCCATCCTTGACCTACTTGTTTTTTCTAAACTTGCACACTGGCTAGAACCATTTTTTGAGAATTTAAAAAATTAAAGATTTTACAAAGAAAATAAAAACTGACACAAAATTAATAAACAATAAAAAAGCAAAGGAAGAAAGAAAAGTGCAGAAAAACAACCAAAACAGAAAGCTTTTCATTTTTCCTTCAATAAATACAAGCACAATTACAATATTGTCTCTTATTCTATGATTATAAAAAAGCTCCCTTTTTTCTATTATAAAATTTTTTCTAATCATCCAAACCACATCATGAATTCATGCTTTCTGTTTCATGCAAAAAGTCCTTTAAGGTGTTCTAGTCATAAATAAATAAATAAATAAATATTCTAATCAAAGATGTTAATTTAGCCATCTCTGCAAGTTCCATCATCTTCATCAGCCATTTCTGAGTTATGGATAACGTTAAACCTTTCCACTTTTGATATAATAGTCTCACTGTGGTTATATATTAAAACAAAGTTCTGTGACTTTTCTTGTTTTCTATCCATTAATCCAAAAGAAAAGTCTCTGATTTCAACTATACTTTAATTTTTAAAATTTCCTGTATGTATGGGTGTATATATATACAACATATTTTAGCTTTTTTTGCATGCCTAACAATCATGATAAAATGCTCCTTCATGTTCATCCTTTCAGCAAAGATTCAAAGTACTTTATATATTCTAGGTAATTTCTTTAGTGACAAATACCAATGATACATCATGTTATAAAATTATTTTTAACGCTAGAACATAAAGTGTTCTAAAAAGCAATATATTGTTTGCCTAGAAGCAAATCAATTAGGAAAAAAGATGTGAAACATTTGATTTATAAAACTTGGATGAGATACTCAGGAGATATTAGGAAGAGGAATGGAGTTCCTTTGTATATTAATCCTCAAGTAACCCAGAACTTGTTTTAATTGATGAAAATGGTGGAGCAGAAGTTACACTATATGAAGTTAAACCTATGATTTGGAAGGTTATGTCCCAAATAAAGATAAAATGACTTTTTATAAACAACTTATGAAGATGGATTTTTTTCAAAGTACTGTCAAGTCCACTCTCTGGACTGGATTTTTTCCTATGATAACTGGTGTATGATGCAAAATTGGAAGTTTCCCCTCAAGACTTCTGTGAAAAATATTAAAATTAAATATTTCAATTAAAATTAAAGTTTAGTAATTTACTAATTTAGGGATAGTTTAGTTGTTTGATACATGGAGCCAGAAGAATAGTAATTCAAGAGAATATACTTATTTTTCAGAAAAAAACAGGTCCATTTCAAGAAAAGTGTGGTTTGAATTTCAAAAAAACCTGACTACTAAAAATTCAAAAGTTTCGGTGATCAACATTAAAGTTTTGACCAGTTAAAACTGAAAAATATTACATTTGATTTTGTAGAACATTGTCACATTATAAAAGCAAAGCTATTTACAGAACCGTTTTTGCTTCATCAATTGAAGAACTAAGATTTCCAGTAATTTTTGAATGTTTAAAAAAAGAACCTAGAATCTTTTTTTCATTTCTTCTTGGGAAATGTGCAAGAGTCTTACGTAATTTATTTATATGTATATCCCATCTAAATTGTTTTTATAAACTTCAAGGCAGCAAACGTACCTAATATGCCGCCTTCCTCCTATTTTCCCAACAAGAACCCTGTGAGATGAGTTGGGCTGAGAACAATGGGCCCAAAGTCACTCGGCTGGCTTTTGCATCTAAAGTTGGATTGGAACACTGTCTTCTGATTTCTAGTGGTGCCTTAATGATTAGACAAAACTGGCTCTCAAGTTTTAATCCAAGCAATCCTACTACTTCAGACATTATCAACTTAATGTTGATACCAATCATTTTCCAAATTGAGATAGCATTTCATTTTGACAAGAGAAGAGTAGAATGTTCATACCATGGGATTTTTCTTACTCCTGGTTACTTACTGGAGATCCTAATACAGTACTGGAGAAAGAACTCTTACATCAGACATATCAAACACAAGGCCCGGGGGCTGGATGCGGCCCGCGCAGTGGTTTCATGTGGACCCCGAAGCCATCCTGGAAACAGTGAGGGAATGGCCAGCCAGGAGCTGGCCAGCCGGGAGCCAATGTACAATTTTGTGGTGGCCATCTTGGCACTTGCCCCGGTGAACCATCCCTTGGCACTTGCCCCAGTCCCACCCCCTTCTGCCAGAGACCCTCAGATCTGTCCCACTCCTGCCCAGACCCCCACCAGCACCCTTGACGCGAATGTAGAACCACCCACGCCCACCCAGTAGGCCACACCCACCCCATCCATACCCACCCAGTAGGCTGCACCCACCCTGGCCACACCTATCCGGCCCCCCAAGGGCAACCGCAATGCTGATGCGGCCCTCAGTGAAATTGTGTTTGACACCCCTGTCTTACATAGATAAAATACCACTCCATGCCAGTCCCACCTGCAAACTTATGTAATTATTTATGAACCTTCTTAACTGGAAGATGACACTTGCAATGCGAAGTAAGGCCTCTAGAACAGCACATTCTAATAATCACTGGAAGTCAGGCAGCATGTAAATTTAAATAATAATAATAGGAGATAAATGATTCTGGGTAAATTTCAGATTCTTAAATAGCAGAAATTTGTTCAGGTTTTATCAGATAAAAAACTGAGGGAGCTATGAGAGTCATCTAGTTTCCACTGAAATTGAGTCATTCTGTTGTTCTGGATTGGATTTGGACAAGTTGTAGTTTTGATGACATTTGTGAATATGATTGCCCATCTTGATACCAATCAGTTTATTGAATGAATGGCTAAATCTGTTCATCTACTGGGAAAAGCCATTATAAATATCTTTTGAACTATTTGTCATACTTTTCTCTGAAACTTAGGGGAGGCTGTGCCACCCAAACCAGTCTAATAGAGTGCCCACTAATAGACGAAGGACTGTTTTGATTTTGGCAATACATTTTTCCCCTTTGCTGTTGTTAATTGCAAAGTCGTGTCCGACCCATCGCGACCCCATGGACAACGTTCCTCCAGGTCTTCCTGTCCTCTACCATCTTCTGGAGTCCATTTAAGTTCACACCTACTGCTTCAGTGACTCCATCCAGCCATCTCATTCTCTGTCGTCCCCTTCTTCTATTGCCGTCAATTTTTCCCAGCATTAGGCTCTTCTCCAGTGAGTCCTTCCTTCTCATTAGGTGGCCAAAGTATTTGAGTTTCAACTTCAAGATCTGGCCTTCTAAAGAGCAGTTGGTTTTCCCCTTTAGACTTCCCCAACTATCAGTTGGAGATAAAGCATTCAAGTCTCTATCTTCTTAAGCAATGAAATTTGTCAAATTATGACTTCTTTTGACTTGCTCTGAGGGTTCCTCTTTTATGTGCCTCTATATTCCTCAAGATGTAAGGAGATTAATTTACATAATTAAGTTTGAATTATCATGCTTCTTTTTTCCAGGTCCAGCTTAGGTGCAAGTTAGTTTATAAAAGACATGTTTTTCAGATTTTTGTACAGTTTTAAAGACTTTGAAAACTAGGATAAATGTAGAACTTTGAACTCCTGCCACAAGTTCTTAGTAGATTTCAGATATGAAGCTAAAAGGTTGTCTTAGAGCAGGCCTAGGTGCACACTCCACATTCATGAGTGTCTCAAGAAACTGCGTCTTATCCTGGAGTTGCTTGCCAGCCCGTCATCCAGGAAAACATGCATCTGATTTATGGAAGCATCAACTGTGCATTTCATATCTGCTCATAAATCCCTTTTTGGTTTGGGATCCAAAGCTCAGCACATTTCTGCTAGTTACTATCATTTTTAATAACTTTTCATTACACTGCTACAGAATTGTGAAGCAGTTTTGTTGTGCTTGTTTATAAGTTGCTCGAATTTATGCAATGGAAACTATAAATGTAATTTATAGAACATCATCCTAGAGATATTTCCCCTTTAATATCCTTTGGTATATTTAGTTGAAGAAAGGCCAAATTATGTTTTATGTCTGTAGTCTTCAGATGATTAATATGACTTAACGAGGACAGGATAAATGTTCATCAGAGTGAGAAATGCACCATAAGTATTTTTCTGAAATAGAATAAAAGGCTCTTTACAACAGATTCATAATAATAATTTAATGAAGATGTGCAAATTTCAGGTAAGCTTTATAACTTCTATGGAATATAAGCCTTTATCTTCTGGGTGATTTATTCTCTGTAAATGTTTCAGACTTCCTTCAATCTTGTTCAATTCTGAGTAAAAATGTACCTAAAAAGTAAAAATAAAGATTTAGCCAATAAGTAAACCTGCATTTTAATCTATCATTTCTCTTGAGAGCCACAGTAATAACTGACCATGTAGAATGCATAAACAGCAGAGATTTATGTTTTTTGTAGGAGTGGAAAGATAGATCTGATACCTCTATTGTCTACAATAACTATGATCAATTTCTGCTTGTAATTATAGTTATTAAAATGGAGGAAAACTTACTTGGGCTCTAACAAACTTGTGTAACTTTGAAAGCAACCCTCTTGCTTCTGGCAGCATAACAACAACTGTAAAGTGAGCATCTAGTAGGAGGCACAGCCAGTCCATAATCTGAAAATAAAGTCAAAATACACGAAACACACAAAATACACCTTAGTATTAGCTATTAAAATGCAAGGCAGTCCAATATCTATACAGAATTTTGTTGCATACCTACTTGCAGTCTACCCTTTTAATTTCAGTGTTGATGCTGAACATTCTGAAGAAGGCAGCATATTTCATTATTGCTTTTATTTTTATTTGTTTGCAATCATGGTAATTCTGGGAAGAATTTACCAGTTTAGGTCTTTCCATAATTTTAATCCCAGGCAAGAGTAACCTTCATTTCTGTCAGTGTGAATACATTTCTAGCACAATTTCCAATGCCTTTTCCCCCATGAAATGTAAAAACATTACAGGCTTCCCAGCAATGCAATCTCACTCATAATCACAGCTATCTGATCAGTTCATTGCCACACATTTAACTAGAAATATATTGCTATGCATTGATTTTTAATAAGTACAATTTGGGCTAGTGAAAAGTAGTTAAAAGGGACATCACATTAGAGGATGTTCTCAGCATATATTGCAAATCAAATAAAAAAAAAAACAAAGGCATTATAAGAGTAGAAGCTCTAATGCAATCACAATAGTTACCAATGTGCTCATATTGTTTACGGGATGCCATGTGATCTACAAGACTAGATTTTCTGTATTAATGGTCTCTTCACTTTTTCACTTAACAATACAATATATTGAAACCAAATTTAGCCATTCCGTATTAGATTCATTAGAATAAACAGGCCTAAACTGAATTTACCTGTCTTGAATTTAGTAATAGGTGGCAAACAAATCCAATTAATCATTTTCTTATATGTATAGTCTATTATTCCAGTGACAGCTGGAAAAAGTATCTCCTTATTTTTTCAGAGGCACTAAATCTGAATATGCTCTAAAGATTTATTTGGGCATATTTAATAATAACTTGATAGTTTTCATAGGAAAAAAATTCTATACCTGTTGTATGGTCAGATGAAATACTCCAGGGAAGTGTGTGGAAGACTCTTTACTACATTGCACATATACGTACTGAAGATACTGGAGGAATAACTAAAAAGAAAACAATAAAATCAGATATTGCTGAATTCAACGGTATGTGCAAAGAATCCTTCAGTCCTTTTAAAAAGAATGACTTGTGTTTTATTTTGTGGTGTAACTGAGACACCCCATATATCAACAAGCAAAAATAACTTTTTTCCAGACAAAGACCTTAACAGCAGAGCTCCCCAACCTTTCTGGCTTTGCAGACCAGCTGGGTTGGGGGGGAGAGGGGATGGTTCCACATGAATGGCGGGCAAGCGCACGTACACAAGCTTGCCTGCTGCTCGCATTAAGTGGGGATGCAGTTCCACGGCCCAGTTCCAAAGGGCTCAAGGCCCAGTAGTGGGCTGCAGCCTGGGGGTTGGGGACCCCTGCCCTACAATAAAACCTCCTTTTGGGGATGCAGTGAACTGAATTTCAGTCTGGACTCTCCCCCCAGATAAAAGTCTGAAACATACAAAGAAGTCTATGTGTGGGAGTTAAATTTGTGTTAATTTTATGATGTTCATGCTGATTACACAAATATTATTTGTGCCTCATTTATATTGACACAATTGCAATTTAACAGACACTCATAAGTAAGAGGCACCTCTTTTGCTAGAAGAGAATACAGATCGTTCTTGATTTACAATAGTTCATTTAGTGACAATGGCACTGCAAAAATTGACATGACTATTTTTCGCACTTAGAATCTCTGCAGCATTCCCATGGCCATGTGATCAAAATTCAGACACTTGGCAATTGACTCATATTTATAATGGTTGGTGTTTCCCGGGGTCATGTTATCACCTTTTACGACCATTTGACAGAGTCAATGGGAAAGCCAGATTCACTTAACAACCATGTTACTAACTTGCGATGATTCACTTAACAAGTATGGCAAGAAATCACAATTGTAAAATGGGACAAAATTCACTTAACAAGCGTCTCACTTACAAACAGAAATTTTAGGCACAATTATGGTTGTAAGTCAAGGACTACCTGTATACATAGTACAGGGTTGAATTGTGAGTTCTTGGTGCTCTTCAAGCTTGGTGGTTTTCTTGCAGACAATGCATCTGATGATGTTACTTAATCTGGTCATGAAACATGCAAGAAAGTCACCAAGCTTGGATTCATCTAAAATTTTCTTTATTTACCAATTTATCTCATTTATATAGCTGTCCATCTCACTAAAGGCAATTCTAGGCAGCACACAACAAAATCTTTGTAAGAGCAGCAAAGGAGAAGCTTTATTACAAATATAATTCCCTATTCAAAATTTAAAATTTAGCATTACAGGAAGAGATGAATAACTGCTTAATGGAGACTGCCAAATGGAGATACAGAGAGCTAGAGTCTTCAAAATATGATGCAAAATGAACTAGGATTTCAACCACAACCTAATAGCTCATAACAGAGAGCGGTGATGACTTTCATAAGTTATTTATAAATAAGATTTATAAATATAGGCTTCTGTATCTTAACATTAAACTATCAGATATAAAAGGGACAACTTCAGTGAAGTCATAAGCAAATATAAAATTAATTTGACACCGTTACTGAATTCTGAAGGAACAAATCAATACTTACTATGACTTCCCTTGCAGACAGGTCTTTCAAATGAGGTAAAAGAAATGTTTCACTGTAAGCTGAACAAATAATTGTATTTCTGCATAAGGTAGAGATACCCGAGTCAAGGATCTACTTCTATGCAGATTTGTATCTTATTTTATCCCCATTTTTTTGTGAAAGCAGTACTTTTAAAACTAAAACCTTTTAAAAAATTAACAAAGCAGTCTTTGTTCATCATTCAAAGAACTGAATGATCCAAATTAAGGAACAAGAATCAAAACCTGGGGGCTTTGCAAATTAAAGCTGGTCCTAGAAACAATTCTACCAAGTCTTTCATTCTACCAGAAAGAGAAAAAAACTTGGCCAGGATTCTACCTACATGGATTAGAAAGGATTAACTGTGACTGTGCATACATCATGAACACCAACATCAATTTTTCAGTGAAGATTTAGCAGAACCAAGCAGCAGTATTGCTACTTCTCGGTTCAAGAGAAAAGAATTCCTTTCTATAGGCAGTTTATTGTAGAGAGATAAAGTTGGGGCTGAGGATTATGAGTTAAAAATAAACATATATTGACCAGTGGATCCTCAAAGAAATGCAAAGACCTGTTTGGTCTTTATCTTTGCAATCAGATATTGTAGCAGTGCAGCACAGAACAGTACATGTAATCCCTTTACTTTTCAGAGGAATTATAAGATTTACTTCTCCATTTGATTTTAGGGCAATGATGGGATATTTGTGGCTCTACAGATAACTTCCAAAACATATCATTCCTGATTAGCCACATTGCCTGAGGTGAGGCTCAGGCAAAATTGTTAATATTCTAGTGTGCTGTGCTAGCAAAAAGTCTAACCTTGTGATACTTTGTTGAAAAATAGCCTCATGACAACTGAGGTTAGCAATTAAGACATTTTCAGACTTTAGTAAACAAATCTCATACACAACTTTGTTTCCGCTGCATATGTATTTTGGAACAATACTGGCAAAAGCTGTGAGGGATATGATAAACAATCTAAATACAATCCATATTAAAGTCTACTCTCACATACTATTTAAGTCAATCAATTATTTTGATAAAAATTCAAATCATTATGTTGTTTAAAAAAACAACAACCATACCTTAATATACTTTTTAGACATAACTACTCTAACAAATGCTGCCTTTTATGCAGTGGTTTCCCAAGTATATATACTTTTATGTAAATTTTGGAGATGAGACTGAAATAAGTTGCTAGAATCTGTTCACTGCTTTTTGGTGCATTACTACATTTTGCTTCCAATTAATGCATTTTTTTATTGTATACCACAATCAACTGAAAAGCCAAAGATTACTTCTGAAGGTTAACATTTTCAATTCAGATTATACTGAATAAGGGGAACACTAACGATCGTTTCTTTTTCATCAGTCACATCAATAATATATTCCAAAGGATACAGCAATGATGCTTTCTGTGGCCCAACTGGACATATTTCACTTTGGTCTATTTCTTGGGATTTCTGTATTGTCTGCGTATCACAGCTATCTTCTTCTATGAGTTCAAAAGTACAGCCATTCTGTATAATTTTAGACAGTTCATCCATTTTGTTGTTTTCAACAGTATGAGCATGATCTGGTACAAAATCTGAATTCATATTCATCGTTTCAAGGTGGTCGTCACCAATGCTACAAAGAAACAAATGTCCACAAATGTCCACAGATACTCAAATTTGTTTAAATTGTTATTTAAAACTACTCTTGAAGTTGAAACAATAATAAATCTAAGACAGATTGTTTGCTGTTAAAATAGAAGAACATAGGGAAAAAATTGCTTTTGGCAGGCAAAGTTGAAAGGGATAATAGTACATCAGGGATGATGAAAACCATTATAAGGTTAATTCTTGAAGATGAATTTTTCCCAATCTGAATCAATTAAAAGAAAAAAAAAGAATACAAAATCTGGATTTTATAAAAGGGAAATTACTTTAGGTCCTTGCGGTATTACGTAGACCTAAATAAATAAGCTTGTAAAATGAAAAGTTCTGCAAAGAAAAAGAGATGATTTATAGTAGCTGTCATTTCTTCAGCTTGTCCACATGGTGATTTAAGACTAGTGCCATCTTTTCAGAGCCTTTTTATAAACAGAAATTAAACTGGAAAAAAAAGCCCATTATTTCAAAACAAACTCTTGCCAGAGCTATTAATAAATTTAAATACAAACAGAAGTATGTATATTTACCTCAGAAAAATCTTCAGGCAAGTACAAATAACTGCTTCAGGGATATCAGGAAATTGCTGCAGACAGAGCTGCAACAGATGTATATCTGTTTTCTCCACTGCAATTGCTATCAGTTCTGGACACATGCTGGAAGATAAGATAGTGAAGTTCTCAATATATTTAACATTATTATGATTGGTTGCACAGTCAGCCACATGTTTAGACTGGATTTGGCATTTGTGCCCTCCCACTGAGTCCCTATTATTACTATTATTTTATCCTGCCCTTGTTTGTATATAAACCCAAGGGGACATACATATCTAATACTGCTGCTTCTTATTTCCTCACAACAATAAGTCTGTGAGGTAGGTTGGGTTGAGAGATAGCGACTGGTCCAAAGTTAACCAGCTGGCTAAGGAGGAGGCCTAGAACTCAGTCTCTTGGTTTTTAAGCCAACACCTAAACCATTACACCAAACTAGCACTCTAATGTGTTAACAATTGTATTTTTCTGTATATATTTCCATACGCTTTTAAAAAAAAGTTTCTGGTATATAAAGTACCCAATTCTCGGGAGCTATGGTTACAAAAAGGTGAAGCAGGCTGTTTGTTAGAAAAGATTAGATATGTATTACCTATAAGAGAGGCCTTGTGTTTGAATCAACTGTACCAAGCAACTGCGAGGATAGAAAGAAGATTCTGCTTTACATCTGTTCACAAGAGCAGATACTATATATCCAAGCGATGCTTGAAAGACTGTCCCTGGAGCGCTAGACAAAAACGCCAGTAGTTTTTCTTCTACAGTATTCTGAGAAGCACCCTAAAAAAAAGAAAATATTTTACTTATTGGTTCCATCTTATTTTCTTCTTTGCCAATTAATTAAAATTATTAACTACCGGACTAGTCGCCCAACATGGTTATTGTAAGAGTTTGGTCCATTAATTCTTCATGAGACCAAATCGGTAGAGAGAAACGTTTTTAGATACTGGTGAAATATTTCATCTCTGGCTCTGTTTCTGTAGTTTACAGAGCAACTTTTTTTTTTTTTAAGAATCACACTAACCAGAAGATTTGTTAATTACACTTAAAATGCTAATTAATATAACTATGATAATTTCATCTCTAATTTGCTTTGCTGATACTTAAAGGAGAATTACAAATTAACTACCTCATTTAGCTACATATTTCACTTTGTTAAGAGTCATGCTTAAAGACTCATTTCTACATAGAGAAAATGCCACTCAAGATTGCCTCGCCACCCTTTGCGGGAGTGTTCATAATTACCTTAATAATGTTAAGAAGCTGTTCCACTGTCAGGGTCCCATCTTGAGCATTCTTTCTTGATCTCAACTGCAATATTTGACAAAGAAATTAAGATTCTCTGAAACAAGTAGATAACATTCCTCCAAAACTAGTAATCAAAGATTATGTCTCACATTCTAACAGGAACCCCCGATTCATTTATTATGAAGGTACCATCTGGGTAAATGTAAGAAAGACATTATCAGATTGAAAAGGATCATGTGTCCCAGGCATTCTTAACACATATGTCAGCAGTGATTTTACCCACTACAAATGTAACAAATACATTTAAAAGTGTCTTTTCTGTACCACAAAAACCCACACTCCAGAATGGATCCAAAACAGAAGAAATATACCATCACTGGCCCTCATTAGATTATGCCAAAATTGCTAATAGAACAGGGTGTGGCTTGGATGCCTCTATTTCATCAAACCAAAATTAGGCCCTGAGAGGTGCGGGGCAAGTCATGCACAAGTTGAGGAAGGGAGGTACTGGGGTGTGGTGCAAATGCAGGAAGGCCAGGGAAAGAGGGTGCAGGTGCACGAGAAAGCAGAGAGGCCTGGAAAGGATGGTGTGTGTGTGTGTGTGTGTGTGTGTGTGAATGAGGGGGAAGGAGGGTGCTCTAGGTGTAAGTGAGCAAAGGGGGAAAGGAGGGGGTGTTCAAAGACAGGCTGGGTAGGGGGAGATTTACCCAAGTGACTTACAACCTTACCCACAGGTTTCCCCAATGACTTTGCCAGCGGGAAACTGGCAGGAAAGGTTGCAAATGGCAATTTCATGATCACAAGACAGTGGAACCGTTCTTAAATGCGCGTTGTTTGGCAGTTAAGTAATTGTGGAGGCCCTGCAATGGCCAGAACTTTGAGGACCAATCATAAACCCCTGTGTTAAGCACTGCCATTAACTCTGAACAGTCGCTGAACAAGTGATTATACCTTGAGGACTACCTGTACAAGTTTTAGTGCTGCCTTAGGAATAAAGCTATCAGAGTGACTTAGTCACTCTCTCTTAGCCCTAGGGCAGGGGTAGGCAACCTTGTCTCTTTTATGACTCATGGACTTCAACTCCCACCTCTGCTTATCCCAGGTCCTTCGGGAGGACTCAATGGACAAACAAAAATGCGAAATCTAGTTTGATCGTCTGGCTGACTGTATGATGATGAAGCATATTAAAATTATATTATATCATGAACCTTACATGACTGTCTCAACTCAGTTAATACATTTTATGTTTTGAAAAAAGAAATTGTGTTCTGAGAGTCAAGGCTAGAAAGCCTGGGTTAGCAAGCCACAGCACGAGTGCTAGATCTGGCAACTGCTTGAGAGGTACATTTAGAACAGGGGTAGGCAACCTTGGCTCTTTTATGACTCCTGGACTTCAACTCCCAGAATTCCTAAGCCATGCTGGCTCAGGAATTCTGGGAGGTGAAGTCCAGGAGTCATAAAAGAGCCAAAGTTGCCTACCCTTGATTTAGAAAGAGTAGCTTTCCCACTTGTTCAAAGATAATCCAGCTGTTGTTGTTTTTTCCTACTGAGGTGGAGCCACCTAGTGATCCCATCTAGAACTGCCATGTGCTGATGGGTTCCAAAATGACACCTTTTACTGGCATTAAAGAAGGGAAAAAGAAACTTCCCTCAAAATCTATGGAAGGCTTTTCCTAAAAAATGTGCTGGGGACACTTCTAAAGTTGGGTGCCTTTAATACTCCTTTTAACACAAACACATTGGCTGCATGAATTTTTCTCAGCAGCTTCTGAAATAGTTCTTTTTTTCCCCACTGTCAGAATCATATGATGAACGAAGGAAATTGAAAAAAGGCAAAAAAGGGCTCAAGAACTACTTAGAAGAACCAAGAGCCTTATCACATAACAATAATCATAAAACGGTGCATTGGAATATCTGCAAGAAATAACATTTGCTTGCAAGCAAGAATTGGTTGGACCACAAAACAGAGAAAGTAATAGAAAATGAAGAAGATAAGTGCTCTAAGACTTCAGAATTCAAACAGACAGGCACCTGCTGTATAATACCCCAGACTTAACAATTGTTGGTAAGAAGGACAAAAAAGTCTAGATAGTGGAAGTGACAATACTTTGAAACAATAGAACAGAAGAGAAAGAACTGGAGAAAAATCACAAAATACAAAGATTTGCAAACAGAAGTAGAATGACTATGGCAAAAGGTAATGAAAATAATACTTATAGCGGTAGGGGCCTTGGGTGCAATCCCAAACATCTGGAGCACCATTTACATAATATCAGCTTTGACAAAATCACCATCAGTCAATTGCAAAAGGCGTTTTATTTGGAACAGCTTCCATCAATGCAATGAAACCTTTAACACCATCAAGCAACATCTGCCTGTCCCAGATCCTTGGGGAGGACTCAATAGGTGAATAAAAGTACCAGCTCCAATCTAAATAGCTAGCTGATTGTGTAACCAACCATAATAATGTCACACAATTCTTAGTTTACCTGGTAGTTGTCACATGCCTCTCCTACAACAATACAACCACACATGTAACACACACTCATGCTCTAGCTTGGAAATAAATAGCTTTAGAAACAATGCTATATGATACAATTCACTGGTTAATTGCATTCTATTTTCTACTGTATACATCTTTAAAATGTTGAAATACATGTTAATATAAAGGCAAACGATATACACATGCACAAATTTTGAACTTTTAAAATGCTAGCATACTCAACATATGTAAGATAAAATCAAGGGCACATTCCTGGAGAAAGAATTTGCATTTAGGTAAGAGAAAGAGATGTTCTGCTCTCATCAGTTTTGTATCTCAGAAGGGAGAAAAACCAACTCAAGATTTTCTTCTCTTCCATCCCAAGCTAATTCTCCATAATTACCATCCAAGCAAGTTAGCCTGAACGCTCATCTTCCTTGATACTGATTAAAACAGACAGATGGAAATATGCTAGCTCACATTAATTCCATTAACATTTATGCTTTCCTATCCATCCACAAGGTGACACACTGGCCCATTGAAGAAAACACAACCACATCATCCACCACTATTGACCCAAATCTGAACAATTAAAAAAAACAACAGCTGAGACATTTTTAGGGTTAAGCGGATGGCTACTAAGTGCATAGATTCCACTATGCAGCATCAACTACAATCCAGTGATCAATAAAATAGTATTAAAGTAGTAGTAAAAAATATTTTGGCTTGAAAATATATAGAGTTAAGAATATGCACATTATACCAAGGATTGGAAGTTAATTATTAGGCTTAGCCTGCATGGAAATCAGTAAGATTTGATTGGTCATAATTTTTCACATCAAGTTTAGGGAGCATAGATGATTAATTTTGTTTCAAGTCATCTGAAATAAAACCTTTCAGAAACCAAAATAATTGAAGAAAAGCAATTTCATATTGTCATATTACTTTATTATTTATTCAACAATTTAGAGGCCACGCAACTTCATGAGACTCTTGCTATTACTCAGCACAATCAAAAGATTAACATAATCTATACCACACTGAATACGTATTATACAAGAAATTATATTACATATATAGGAAAAGAAATTAAAAATAATCACATCAAAATGAACATACCGGCCTCTTAGATTCATCTTTAGCAGCCTTATCAGGTTGGGCATAGATCATGTCATCTTCCTGAAGCCTATTCCAATCAACAGGCATAGATTTCATTTCTGGAAAAGTATAATTTTATTTTAAAGGATGCAAAATATTTCTTGTTATCCCTCCCCCCCAGAAACACACACACAAAGTCCTGGCAATTTGTGCATCTTCTGACTCAAAAATGTAAAGAAAATGTACATTCTGATCATATGTTCCAAAAGATTTTTATTTAGGATCCTGTGATGACATTTCTGTCATCCAGTTCTAAGAGCCCTCATTTTGTCATGCAGAGAATATCCAACTAGATATTCTTTCACTTTATAGAAGATTATTAGAGCTATATAGAAGATTACCTGGTTATTTAATTGGATTATTTCCCCTGATTTCTTAATAGAAATAATACTGCAGTGTTAAAAGAGAAATATAAGCAGCAAGAAATAGACCTTGGTCCCAATCCTAAAACCTAAACATGCAATTTTCTTCAGGCTTCTGTATGACCTTTAAAAAAAGATGTGGGTGCTTTTAAAAAGGTGCTGCACTACCACATATTCTGGAATACCTCTTCTGAAACATTTTTAAAGCATGGCCAGTCCTATTATTTTTTTTATGCCAGCCTCCCACAGCTTCCAAGTCCTGCATGAACTTCCTCATTTTCATAATTTGCCTGTTCTCTTCTTCCACAGGGCAAATTTCTCCTCTGTAAGCTGATCAGTAGCTCCCTTACTTTATCATTTAAAGAACCACAAACACAGATGAACTTCAATCATTAAGAAGCCTTTTTATTGGGGCATTTTAAAAGCAATTCACAACTTTCAATTAATTGTCTAATAAATATTACAGATGGTTATACTTAAGAAATAAGCAGGAAGAGAATTAATTGTCACCAGCTTTATTAATTGCATTCTTAGAACTTGGAGGAAGTCATTACAGCTTTTGTACTAAAAAGCCTAAGAACCATGCCCTCTAATTTTTTTTTTTATGATTCTGTAATCCAGTGGTTCTCAACCTGTGGGTCGGAACCCCATTTGGGGTCGAACGACATTTCACGGGGGTCACCAAACAACGCAGTCCGCCATTTTTTCCCCCCTTTTCCTTAGCTGTGCTACTCCTTTTTATTCTATTGGCTTTTGAAAGCCAATAGAATAGACTCTCTTGAATAGAGTCTAATTCTATTGGCTTTCAAAACCAATAGGAATTGTCCAGGCTGTCTCTGCCCTGCTGAGCCCGCCAAAAGTCCCATTCTGCAAACGGTGCTGCACCAGTTGAGTAGTCCTTGACTTACGACCGGTTGAGTAGTCCTTGACTTACAACTGATTGGGGGTCGCGGCATTAAAAAGGTTGAGAACCACTGCTGTAATCCCTTTTATCGGGGCGGAGTTGGGAAGACTGAATGGCACTGAGCAGTTACTGGCCAAATGCCCTTCCTGATGCCTACATGGAGTTTGAAGCATGTATTTTCTCTTTGCACCCTGATAAAGTAACATTTGTGTGCTGCCTAGGATTGAACTCTCAACCTTCTGAATGGGAGGTGAACATCTTCACTTCTAGGCCACCGCACTGCTCAACTATGCCTTCTAATAATACGCAAAGCATAATATAAATCCTTTTGGTTAAAATGGTTAACATGTAATTTTCCAAAAGCACTTTACTATTTTATATATAGAATAATGCTGATTCTGTAAACCGCTTAGAGCAGAGGTCCCCAACCTTTTGGGCATCATGGACCGATTCAATGGAGAGAGGTTTTTCCGTGGACCAGAGGGTGTGTGGTTTTGTGTACTGCCTGTATCTTGCAGATGAGGCTTTGCAGACCAGTTGCTGGCATGCTGCGGCCCAGTACTGGTCCACGGACCGGGGTTGGGGACCCCTGGCTTAGAGGGTGCTGAATATAAGTCTAAGTGCTACTGCTATTGCTGTAATTGAAAAACATTGCAGTTAAATTCCTACCAGAAATATATGTATCCTTGCTTTTTCCAACTGCAGCAGCCAAAGAGGATGTTTCACACTTGTATAGAATTACTTCTAATTCTCTGCCGTGTATTATGAATAGCTTATCATCATAAGCCCAACACTGAAATAAACAAATACATACATACATATATATATATGGTATGCCAGCAGAAAATAATTAGTGAACATATACGCTTCCAACTTTTATCTTTATTAACATTCAGATGGTGCCTTTGGGTTGGAAAGGCTAATTAATGATTAATTTTTCAGAAGAAATTCAATAACGAAATGTGACCTCCGTTATATTTTATATACTAGATAAGAAACCCATCTAGTCCTGGTGTTTTGCCACTTGCCATTTTTAACATTATCTGTTTAATCTCTACTGTGGATAGGGGAGCAAATAAAAATGATTTTTGTGTATCATCTAAATGCAGTAAGTTAATTTTATTTAAAAAGGTTTCTATTCAGAAAAGATTTATGTTGGAGCTACGTTTGTTTGTTTAGCGTATGGCATATCATACATGGACGGAGCTATGTTAGCCAGGAGAGAGGGAAACTTATCTGTAACTCAAACCTCTTCATTATTACCTGGTCTCTTATTACAGTAGAAGGGATTCCTTTAAGGCTTTAGTTGTTACCTGTCCTGATGATAGGATCCTGGATATACAGTATCAATAAAAGGCTTAGCAGGGAGATGCCCATTATCAAAGGTGCATGTCTTTTTTTCCTAGACCCGAATGTAGCTTTTTTTTGGGACATATTACTTATATCAAGGCTTTTCAACCAGTGGTACGGGTACCACCTGTGATACATTGGCACCTGGCAGGTGGTACGCGACCATCCTAGAAAAGTGGTAGTGGGGAAGGGGAATGAACGGAACCGGTGGCAGCACCGCACAAGCCTGAGTGAGAGATGGCTGGAGCTACAGGCTGTCAGGGCTCAGCGGAAGCAGCAGGATCAGCGCCAGGCTCCAGCTGGAGCTCGGTGCTGATCCTGGTGCTTCTGCTGAGCCCAGAAGAAGGGACGAACCGCTGGAATGTTGCAGCATCTCCAGGGTCTTGTGATTTACATTCAGATGCTTGGCAACTGATTCATATTTATGACGGTCACAGTGTCCCAGGGTCATGTGAAGTGACCAAAATCTGCTGCAACCACCCATCAGATGGGGGGAATAAAAACCAAACACCCTCCACCCTACCCCCGCTGCCGATCCTCAACAGAAATGCTCACAATGAAAACCTCGGACAGAAGGAAGAGTGCTGCCAGGTGGGCAGGCAGGTATCTTGCTCGGCTGTGGCTTGGGGGGGCACTTTTTTCAGTGCCATTGTAACTTCGAACAGTCACTAAGCGAACTGTTGTAAGTCGAGGACTACCTCTATTTCATCACTTTTTTCCTTGGTTTTTTTTTTTTTTGGTCATTACATTTTTGATACCTTGCTAGGTGACTGGTGGTACTCAGATATTGCCATACCCTAAAAGTGGTACAATGGGTGAAAAGCTCTGACTTATATTATACAATTTCTAAAAGAAGAAAAAAATGGCTCATGGCTCTGTCTTCTATATATTTTGTAGCTGTGTCCATTGCCTTGCTGAATATTCAAATTATGAAGGTAATATGTCCCAAATGATTTGCCTTCAAAATAATGTAATTTTGAAAATGGAACTATCCATTTTCCTTGTTTCTGAGGCTTAGATATGCTCCTTCTATTCATTTTGAATTTTTTAGTATTGAACAAAAATGTTTCCCTTTTTGAGGCCAGATTTCATTCTTCCAGCAATTTGTAGATATGTCAGCCTTTGCTGAGTAATTTTTGCTGTATCTTTAATTTATTCATGAGGTCTGAGTGGACCATTTTTGGATATGCAATTACACTTTTCTTACTATAATTATCTCCAACATAAAAACCATTTAGGCGAGAGACTAATGGCGATATTTTTAGACTTACTATTTTCCTCATAGAGTTGCATACTTTTACCAAGCTTTGTCTTATAAAAGGTTTTTATCCTGTTTTGTGTTGGGAAATTGCCAGCAAGGCTGGATGGAGGGGTCAAACAGGGACCCAATTTGGAATCCTTGCAGTCACAAGTGGCATAAGTTTGATCCCCCACAAGATCCATGAAGCCTTATCTGGTCCCAATTTCTTGCTGGACACTGGTAAGCGGAGATATTTCGTAGAGAGGTACACCCAGTCCCCCACCCTGAAAGGTTTGTGGTCGGCCCTCTTCCTATTGGCTTGAGTCTTAGCAGCCGCCTCGGCCTGTGTTAGGGCTTTTTTCACGAACTCCCATAGCCCTGTCACTCGTGTTATCCAGGCCTGAGGTGTATGTATCCTACCCGCTTCCTTGGACCATTCGGGAATGGGCACAGATTCCACTCCGTTCACCACCCGAAAAGGGGCAAACCCGGTACTGCTATGAACTGTATTATTGTACGCCACCTCGGCGAATGGCAATAGGTCTACCCATTCCGTTTGTTGGAATGTGACGTAGCTACGCAGGTACCGTTCTATCATGGCATTTGCTCGCTCTGCCGCCCCATTAGTACATGGGTGGTAGGCAGAGCTGGGGCTCTGGGATGATCCTACCAGTCTGAGGAACGTTCGCCAAAATTGTGCTGACTTGCACTAGGTTCCTGCGTACCTGATTCCTTCGTTCGGGACGACAAAGGACCCGGGTTGACATGCCAGAGGAAGGCAAGCAATCTGGGGAGATTCCAGTAACTTAGGCAGAGAACAATAAAACTGCTTATTATAGCTGTTTATGGGTGGCTCCGGTTGCTTGTATTGACATTAGTGTCCCTGTACCAGAAATATCTATGGAACCCATTAGTTAGGCCAGCTCCTTCCAATATTGGTGTTCTGCTGTTCTGGGATTTTATTCCACAAAACCTTTTGGCTAATATTATGTAGTAGTAGTTGTTCTTATCACTTTTCAAAATATCTGTAGATACTAATAAAATAGTGTTCGTTATAACTTATCGACAAATCCTTAATTTTGAAATGTGATACATTCATCATCTTTGTAGAGTTCTGATAAATTCTATTTATTTGACTTTAAAACATTCATCTTTTACTGCCTTCATGGTGCCCCATTTTATGGTTAACAATCATAAAACTGCCATTTTTGGAAAAAAAAAGATTGCCTACATTCCGAGGCAAAATATTTTATTTGCAATTATATAGCAAATTAGAAATAAATAAATTGATTTTTGACATTCAAATTAAACCCCAAAATTACTGGACCAAATAAGCAGACTTTTTGTTAATTGATGCATAATATTCTAAATATCAATAAACTGTACAGGTAGACTTCAACTTATGGACTGTTTGTTTAATGATGTTTCAAAGTTAGAATGGTCTTGGAAAAAATGATTTACAACCTGTCCTCAAAGGTACTACTGTTGTACCATCCCTGCAGGCCATGTGATTGCTATTCAGGAACTAGGTATGTGGCTCGCATTTATAATTGGTTGCAGCATCCTCCAGTCATGTGATTATCATATGTAACATTCCCAGAAGGTTTCTGAGAAGCAATATCAATTGGGGAAGCTGGAATAGCTTAAAGATGATGTGATTCGCTTAATGACACCATGATTCACTTAACAATCAAAATGTTTCACTTAAACATGGTAAAAATGGTTGTAAAATGGGGTCATCACGTGATTTGTTTAGCGAGTCACTTAGTGAATCCATTGTGGTTATAAATCGAGGACTACCTTATTGCAGTTGTATCAAATTCGGTAATCTCTTAATGCTAAGGTGGCCTTCTATTTTCTAACAACCTGTTCTATCACTTGTAAACCAGCAAATACTTCAATTGCCTTCTAGAACGAAAGTCTGCCAGCCAAATTTATTCAGAGCTTTTCTTACTTTTTGTGTAAATCCTGATTGAGTCTCATCTGATATACATTTAGAGGCCAATGTTATTTATACTTTTATTCCTTCAATTAAAGTAAGTCCTATCTTTTTGAATATTTTTCTACTGTAAAAACTGTATTGGTTTTAAATAAAATGGCTACCCCTTTTGATTTGCTAGTCCCTCCCACCCAAAATAATCTTTTCAAAATCTTATCTGATATATATGATTCCTGTAACATGACTGCTGAGAGATCCCTTCTCCCAACTCACATAGAACATATTTAAGCGCATTATGTTAAGCTTGCTTTTCAGTTCACATTATCCTTACATTGATTTTATTTTTAATTAATTTTGTTAATGCTTTCCTCCATTGCCATGTTTTTCTTCAATGCCAGAGTGTCTCATCACTGACTCATCCAAGTCTTTAATTCTTTGTTTGTTCGAAGAATTATCCTTCATAGACATCCTTTTATTGCTCATTTTGCCAATTAGTTGGATATTAGTCAAAGAAAACCAGCAAAAATAATCTGAAAAGCTGGGTTGGGAGAAGAGCAATTGGCTCAACGCTCCACCTTCTCTGATGTCTGGTCTAACCCATGTCTAATTCCACTTTACAAAATAATGAAATTCACTGCTTTATTTCGTTACAAAACAATTATATTCACATGGCATACACAACCTTTATCAAGCTGTATTTGATTTTGAATAGAATGGTAGCAAGTAGCACTCTCTAAAAAAAAGATGAAGCCAAAGCAAAGTGAAAGCTGATTGAATTTAATTTTTAATTGTTAATGAATGAAATATATTTAATGTGTTAATTCCCCATGTATTAAACTATTTCCTCCATCAATCAAATTAAAAATTATATGATGTTTTGCATGTATACTAAGAGTTTCTGCACTGGAGACAAATTCTCTGTGTTTAATCACACTTGGTGTTCTGTTCTGTTCTATTCTCTCTTAGCAAGGTAAGAAAAGGGAGCACCTAGACTTGAGCTTCACTTATATCATGGCTTAATATATTCATTGATGAAAGGGAAACATTTTAAAACATGGACATTTCTTCTTAGATAAGCAGGGGTTTCAATTATGACAAAATTGTCATAGATATGTTAAAATCAAGTAACTGGTCTCAGCTTACTTGTCCTGTTGTTCCTTGTGGCAAATCTTTTGATGCTTCCAGAGTCTGAAACTTAATATTCCATATTGAAAAGCAGTCTACCAAGAGGAAACACAAAATTCATCAAATAGTGAGCGATTTACATATGCACAGTTCTCATTTATAAAATGTCATCTGGAAACTAATTAAAAGTATGCTGCAAATATACTGGACCACCACAGTAGTTACATCAGATCATTTTTGTTGAATGCTATTAATAATCAAGTGTCTCATTTCAAAAGGGTTAATTTTTAATTAATTTCTCAAGGGGCCACATGAGAAATTGGGACTGTTGTGGAGGGCAGATATCCTGCCCCCACCACCACAGATGCTGCACTACCATCTCTGCTGCTGCTGACACTATTCCCCCCTCCTCTACTATGGCTGGATTGGGACTGCCCACGGACCATATGTGTAAAATACCCAGGTCTGCACTAGAAAGAATAATGTTTTCTGGAATCAGTGTCTCATTTTCTACCACCTTGTGGAATCTTTCCTGACTTCCCTCATTGTTGATTATCAGTTCAAATTCCACTATTTTTTAATTCTACATATCATGGTCCTTATTGTTAATGCTTTTCCAAATGTTTCTTGGATGTTTTCCTTTTGTTTTGATCCAATTGTTAATCTAAGTTATTTCAGTTGAATTGTTCAATTGTTTACCTTTGACATTACTTTCTGAGGGATCCAGGCATCCTGTTACAGCAATATGATCTTTATCAAGAATCACAATTGAAGTTCCTTTAAGAATACTTCCACCCACACTGAGTTTGAGCAGAACCGATATTGGTAAAATCTGTGTATCTTCTGTTTTATTCTCTTGTAGTGGTATCAGAATCTTATATACACAGCCATTGGAATCTGTATACAAAATTCAAGTCACATCTTAATTTGCAATAATAAACATGAAAACTAGAACTGTCAGTAAATACAGATCTATGAACTTCCTCCACTGGTATAGCCATCCCTTTCTTCACTATGAGGGACCTACAGTATGTAGTGCATGTATACACACAAACACACCCAAGCCTTAGCTAAGAAACTAATCAAAGAATTAAAAAATAATGTCACTTGCCAGATTACTTCCAAAAGGTGAAGCAAATTGATTTCCCTGCCATGTTTGTCTATGGTAAAATGACTAGTAGCAATCAACCCTAGAGTAATATAGCTGGCCAAGCATTTACATAAAATCACACAGCCTAAAACAGCCTTAAATATTCAATATCTAAAGGAGCAAATAAATAAAAATAAATACCATTCTCTTATAATATAGATCACATCATGCACTATGATGTGCTTTAATTCAGGGGTCCACAACCCCCGGTCCGTGGACTAAGTACCGGCCACGGTTTGCCAGCAATCAGTCTTCACAAAAAAAGTCCCATCCACAGGATGCAGGCAGCACACAAAACCATGCCCCCTCTAGTCCACGGAAAAACCTCTCTCCATGTAACTGGTCCCTGGTGCTCAAAAGGTTGGGGACCTCTGCTTTAATTCATTCTTGCTGGTGGGAGTTTTGCTAGTGTAATTTGTAAGCCATAGTTTATGTTTAATGTTATGTGTGGACCAGGCCATTATGACTTCTCCAAAATACTAAGACTACTAAAACAATGTTTAGCATCATATGTAATTCTAATCGGGGTCCAGAACTACCGTATTTTCCGGCGTATAAGACGATTGGGCATATAAGACGATTGGGCGTATAAGACGACCCCCAACTTTTGAGATTTTCATGGTTTAGAAAGTCGTCTTATACACTGGAAAATACGGGTACTTTAACTTTCTAATAAAAGTAATGTAAGTTCTAAACACATTAGCATTTTATTATATTTCATCGCTTGTTCCTGATCTGCTGAAGACAAATATAGCTAGGTAACATCCCATAATAAGCATGGGGGTGCACTTGTGAAGCTTTGCAGTATATGAGGAACTGTCTCACCCCAATGGGACTAGCTGGCCCCTCTCGTTCCAGTGGAAGCTTGCCAGACCGCTTCCGGGACGACACCCCACGGGCGGATCACTCTGTCATCTGCGCAGCGAGAGCACCAGCCACGGCGGCAAGTTGCCAAAGAAGCGGCTGAGCATGGAGGAGGAAACCCTGAGCATCCATCCATCGGGGTCCCAGGGCTTCTGGTGCTCAGCGTGATGGCACCGGGTGCGGTCAACCCTGAGGAAGCGGCACCCTCTGTGCAGCCTGCCGGCTCCCACCAGCTGCTCCTGCCGCCCACCCGAGCAGAGGCTGGTGGCGGGGGGGGGTTTCCCCGGGGGAGGAAAAACTCTGCTCACACTGCCTCCCTCCACCGCCCTAGACTGGGAGGGGCAGGATCCCCGCCCAAGGGGTGGACGCTTCTGCAAAATCGCTGGCTTTCTGAGAGCGCTGAGCAGCACTTCGGCAGCAAGGGGGGTGGGGGCACTTCTTCTTGGGACGCCCCCACCGCTGACCCAACATGGACATTCTTACTCGGCTGGCTCTCCGCCAGCGCTCCTCTCCCGCCATTGGTCCGCCAGCGCTCCAACCTAGCCCCTTCCTCCCGGCTGTTTCTCAGAGGGACACTTTTCTAGGGCTATTTGGCTGCGTGGGACACTTAAACTCTCATCCAGACAGCCAATCCCTGCGCCAAGGGGTGAGGAGCATGGGGCGCAGGATACGGGGGAGCTTGCTTTGATGTACTCATATTTTCCTGCGTATAAGACGACCCCCAACTTTTGAGAAGATTTTCATGGTTTAGAAAGTTGTCTTATACACCGGAAAATACGTTAAAGCATTTTATATGTTTATGCTTATATGGCTATAATAGAAAATAAAACTATTTGTAAACTCCTGACTAATGAGCAGATCACATATTTACAAAGCACTCTCTCACAGGTTTTTTTGGTATCTAAAGTAACAATGTTATTAAACTGGGACTGTTTTAAAATTAAACATAATTAGAAAATACAGTTACACTTACACAAGCAAAAGAGTGTGATAACCGTGTTTTTCAAATATGCCGCAAAGCTCAGGGCAGTAGATGACCCAGCTCCTTGTCCAAATTTAAACCTCTGAAGGATGTATGGATTGCAATGCTGCACATATATGAAGTAATTCCTATCCTGAAAATAAAGGCTTTTTTAATATCTCTATCTAGCTCATGACCAAAGCAAGCTAATAATAGTTTACATCTCATACCCAAGGGAACTGAAGTGCCAATTAAGTAACAGAAATGATAATCCAATACGAAACACATGCCAATATAGTCATTGTAAAAAAAGCATTGTCAAAGGAAGGCACTCTAAATAATGTAAAGGTAATCCTTGACTTATGACTATAATTGTCACTGGAACTTCCACTGCTAAGCAAAGTAGTTGTTAAATAAGTCACGCCTTGTCCTATTACCTTTTTTGCCACTTTTGTTAAGAGAATCACCATGGTAATTAAGCAATCATGTGACTTGTTACACAAATCTGGCTCCCCCCCCCACCGACTTTGCTTGTGGGAAGCCAGCTGGGAAGGTCACAAATAGTGTTCCTGTGACTGCAGATACAGTGCAATAGTTGTTGGCAATGTGTACAATGTTCAACGGGTTGCAATTCACATCTTTCAGTAGCATCATAATTTTGAATGGTTGCTACACAAAAGGACATAAGTCAAGGACAATCTGCAGAGTTGTATCTGTAATAACTGTAAGAACTAGGAAGATGAACCAAACAGAAAAACTATCTTCTTCCACCCAAGGCAAGGGCTGGTTCATAAACATGGTATTTTAGCAGAAGAATTTCTTAAAAATTAAATTTGGTCAATTACCGAAATTAAAATAGCTTTTCTACATTTGAACACTGCTTCGTTATATTGTTTAAAAAACATCCTATTAATTATCTAATGCACAGGAATATTTTTACAGAAATGAGTTGATCAGATCCATAACACTGACATCTGGATTTTTTTAAAAAAATAAAGAGAAACACTTGATTTTTACACATCACCTGAACATTTGATCAAATCTTTAGTCCTCATAAAACTGCCAAGAGTCATCTGACTGCAGAAGATATAAATGCAATAAAAATAAAGAAATAAAAAAAAGTTCTCTAATACATGCCTGGTGTTTAAAGTGATAATACTATTCAGTCTTCAGAAAGTATCTGTTGATACTGAAAAATAGATCTGAACATTTTTATACCAATGTCCAAGGACTGGGAACTCTGCCACAACACTTATTGTACTGATATAAATAAAAGATACATCAACAATAAAATAATACAAAGATGCATCAATAATACATCAAGAATGGTATATATATCTTACTAGAAGCAGCAACCTAGCCGCATACATAAAATATCTATCATTTGACTACTTTACATCTATCTAAGATTTAATACTCACCTCCTCAGTAATAAATAAAAGAACATTCCTTTTAACTCCAATTAAAGCATCACTCCATCTAAAAATAAAATACATAGTTATTGCTACAGAAAAAAATGCAAATATAATACTGGACTTTATTGCAGCTACCAAGCATTGTGTTATGGACTGGGGTCAAGATAAAGTAATATCATGAGGATGTAGCAGAAAGAAGAGGGAATCTTCTATGATTAGATTCAAGTGAGAAAAGAATCTCAATTCCTTCATTTGATGTAATATTAGGATCACTATTAAATTTTGAATTTTAAAGTTACTACAGGGAGTGTGGCACTCACTTAATAATTTCTTCGGAAATAACATTTTCAATTTCTTGTTTTGGATCTGCTAGCAAAGCATCCAAACTCTTAACAGCTCCACTCTTGAACAGGACTAAGGGTTCTGTGTGTGGTAATGAATGTATCCGATATACATCTGATGACAGCTGCAAGATAATTAAAAAAAATGAAATGAGACACATACTCATATATTCATATGGCAACAAATGAAAGGGCTCCTTGTGAAAATAAATATTTATTCTAATGGTATTTTCTGTTCATCCAGCTTCAAAAATCTTATGCTTCTAGTGAGCAGGGAATAAGCTTCATTCCAATTCTAGATAAGTGAACCTACACAAGATTCATGTCACTTGCTTTTCATTCACTTTTCCAAAATGGAAATATTTTCTTGTTCCAACAAAACAAATCTGATTATGATTTGAAAGAATGTTCGCTGGCAACAGGATTCTACTCAATTGAGCTGATCTACTTTTTTTTTTATTTCTGGAGATAATCTTGTCTTTTGCTCCCTGTTTTGATGAAGGACATCCCACTGTGATGTGTAAAAGAGTACAGTACAGTCTGATTATGGTTATGGACCAACATAGGGAGGGGGAGGAGAAAGAAAAATTTGTATTTTTACTAATTCCTGATATCTCTGCAATACTTTACACAATTCTGCATAATTTTCTGAGCAGCCTTTCAATTCTCCACTGAAGTTTCGAACTGAAGGAAAAATATAATTAAATAATCATTGCAAGCAAAAATCTCCATCTTCCTTCAATAGAATTCTTTGTTGAATTCAGTGTTTAGCTGCATGAGATAATTACTTTAAAATATATTATCAGTACTTACTGTGGCTTTAAAAACTTTATCCAAGTCAGTATCATCTTCTTTCCAGATCTGTAAAACCTTTTAAAATTCACACAATTACCATTTTAGAAAGATCACAAAGAATTGTTTGCTAACTATACCTCTTGAAGCTTGAAGAAAATAAATTACTTTGAGATATATTTAAGATTATTAATCTTAAAATATTTGATTTTAATGGCATACAAAAGTACTTGGTTGAAGTACTGAAATATATCTGCATATATTCTGGTAAAAATAAAGGAGTCCCTGTGGATTTTACTCTGCCAGTCGTTGCTGACTATAGAGGGCAGTGCTCATCTCTGTTTCAAGGCCATTGAGCCAGCACTGCCTGAAGACATTTCCAGGGTCATGTGGCCAGAATGACATCACAAAGCGTTGTTACCTTCCCACCAAAGTGGTACTTATTTATCTACTCGCATTTGCATTCTTTCAAACTGCTAGGTCAGCAGGAGCTGGAATGAGGCCGGGAGCTCACCCCGCTGTGTGATGTTTGGGTTTCAAACATGGGCTGCTGGCTTTCCAGCTGACAAGTCCAGTATTGTTAACCGCCGAGCCACCACGCCGCCTATATACTCTGGAGCTGCATCAAATACATACATCAAATAGATGTATGAAAGACAGGCAAAGAAATAAGTAGTCTTGCTTTTCCTTCTTGTACTGACTTCCTGGGCAAGAGAACTCATTCCTACAAACATTTTGTTTCTCATCTAGGATTTCAACTTCATTTTACTAAGGAATAAAAGATTTAACTTAATGGAAACATAGACAACATATTTAGCATTCCCTCAGCATGCAACGTCACAACTTATTTGTTTACATAGAAAGGAAAAGTACCAAAAAATGAAAACAAACTTTAAATAAAGCCTTTCATTAACTTCTGATAAGGTTCATTAAAACAGTGTTAAGAAAAATATAATCATATGGATTAGAAATCATACCTTGTCATCATGAACAAGAATTAATTCTTCTGTTTCAGAGTTCCATACGGCTGGACATGAAATTGTTTGCCCTTGTTTGACTGACCAGCAACCCAGTGGTTTTTGATCAGATACCTTGGAAAAAAGAAAGTTCCAAATAAAATGGGTTGCTCAGTAATTCCGGAAATCAGAATAAAATATCACATGATTCTGAGTTCAAGTACATGATTTGAATCCACTAGAAAAAAATTAATACCCTTTTAAGTTAAGCATTCTTAAACATGAAATATTATCCAATTGCTTAATTTTAAAAACATAAGAATAGTAAAATATACTATTTTATATAATACCTGGACCTGAGTGTTCAAAATGGGTATTTCAAAATTATTCCACAATTCAGATACATAACTAATACTAACTTTCATTTTACTTTTTAATTCCTTATACAATTTAATTGTTTTCCATTTAAGAGCTGTATCTCTTAAGGCAGTGGCCCCCAACCTTTTGAGCATCAAGGACTGGTTCTGTGGAGAGAGATTTTTCCGCGGACCGGAGTGGGTGTGGTTTCATGTGCTGCCTGCATCCTGAGATGGGGCTTCACTTGTTTGCATGGCCCGGTTTCTGGCATACTGTGGAGCATACTGGGGGTTGGGGATCCCAGTCTTAAGGATATAAATTTGTAGATATCTTGGAGACTTCTAGGGTCCAGGCTAGATTGTTTAATTAGTACAGAGGTCTTCAAACCTGGCCCTTTTATGACTTTTGGACTTCAATTCCCAGAATTCCTCAGCCAGGCATGCTGGCTGAGGAATTCTGGGAGTTGAAGTCCACAAGTCATAAAAGGGTCAAGTTTGAAGACCCTTGGATCAGTACGTCTTCAGTTGCATACATTGCCAACTTTAGCTTGCATGAATGTAGGCAAAGTAAGTCCCAAAATGTGAACCTCAGTAAATTCCACTATCTAAAATTATTTGAATTATAGTTGAGCATAGTTGGTTTTCTTTACATTACAGTCTGTGCCTATGTATTTTATTTTATGCATTTCAATATATTTTTCCGACAAAGGCCACTACTCTTAAAAAGGGTCCATTGCATGAATCTCTGGTCTAATTGAAGAAAACAATGTTTCAAGAAACAGACTAAAGATTAAAGAAAGCAAAGGCCATACAGGTACTCAACTTACAACCACAACTGAGGCCAAAATTTCCACTGCTAAGCAAGACAATGAAGTGAGTTTTGCCCCATTTTACAATTGTTCTTGTCACAACTGTTAAGTGAATCATGGCAGTTGTTTGTAACATGGTGAATCTGGCTTCCCCACTGACTTTGTTTGTCAGAAGGTCGCAAAAATTGATGACCTTGGGACACTGCAATCAGTCATAAATAGACACCAGGTGCCAAGTGTCCAAATTTTGATCACTTGACCATGGGGAAGCTGCAAAGCCTTATATAATACTGCTCAAAAACAAGGCTAAAATGTCTTCCCAAACTTTTAACAATTAGAACAAATGGTATGCATGTGTGTGTGTACACACATGAAGGATAGTTTCCCCCCACCCACCCACAACTGTCCAGAATTCCCAGCCCAACAGAAGTGGGTGCAAGTTGTCATTTCACAGGTTAAAGAGCCTGTTAAAAGCAGAGAGAAATGCGTGTCGAGGTGATAAGTACAGATTTAAAAGGGTCACAGCACGAAACCCTCGTCGCCTCTGAAGGATCACATCACTAAGACGAGGATGCGCACTTAGAGCCCGGGCTCCCTTACCCGCATTCGGGCTGCCAAAAGACACCGAAAACCCTTTCTTACTTGCCGCCGCTGCCGCCTGCGGAATCGCCCGGATTTTCGCGCCCCGCTTGCCCTTCAGCAGCACTGCGCGACCACGTCCCTCCCTCGCAGAGCCCCAGGGCAGCGAGCATGGACCTTCTCGCTAGTGCCCTTGGTCTGCCTTTACCTTATACAGCGTCACCGTCCGGCCTCGATCCGTGAGCAGCACCCGGTCAGCGTCCGGCTCCAGTCCCAGGGGCGCCTGAGGGGGAGTCCCGGACAAGCTGCACAACGTGAACCTCTCTCGGAAAGCCGCCATCTTGCAAAGCGCGCGAGAAGCTGCATGTCAAGCCTCGCGAGAGGGAAGACTGCAATGCGCCTGCGCTAGAATTCCCCCCCCATCCCCAAACACACCGTGATCCGGAGGTACGCAGGCGCAGTTGCCTTCAACCTGCAGCGCTCCCTGTTGGAAAGCAAAAGCGACGCAAGCGTAGAATACATGGGCCAGAGATCTATGGAGTTTTAACGTTGGGATGAAGGAAAGTGCCTGGGATTGCCTTACTCGTTTTGGAGAAGCGGTTTGACCTACTTATTCCTATAACCCAGCTTTGTAAATTTCCCTGAAAGACTGAACCGTAAACTAGACATACAGGTTGGTTTTACACAACGGTAAACCAGCCACTGATCTTCGGGTGGTGTACAAACCAATGTGCGTGTAATGCAGTCATTAGAGAATCTACGTACTGTCTGAAGCTGGCGATGGAAATTTGTTACCTTGGTTTACTGCAATTTATTGTAGCTTATTGTGTGTTTTCAGTATTTTGGTACGTAGAATTTAGAGGGGCATCATCGGCTTATGTGGCACATGCCATCATTTGCCAACAATGGCCTGCTGATTCTATGTAGGGCAAACAGCAAACTTTGTGCAAAAGAATTAATGGACAATGGTTTGCTATCAAGAGAGCCAGTTTGGTTTTGTTAGCAGGGGTGTCCTTGGAAACTTTTAAGGCTTCTGGACTTCAACTCCCAAAATTTCCCAGCCAGCAATTCAGCGTGGCTGGCTGGGAAATTCTGGAAATTGAAGTCCACAAGTCTTAAAACTATCAAGGTTGGACACCTCTAGCGGTGGTTAACGACACCTGTCTAGAAACCAGGAGACTGGAAATTCTATTCCCATCTTAGCCACAAAGCCCAAGATGGGTCAGTCACACACTCTCCCAGCTCTCGGAAAGCGGTAAGGGCACACCATGTCTGCAATCTTACCAATAGAACTGTAGTCCAGGCAGTCACCAGGAATCAACCCTGATTGGAAAGCACACACAATCTAATACTAGGTTTCAAAACTGCTGGTATCCGAGCAGTTTAAGCCCCTAGGACAGTGGTTCTCAACCTTTCTAATGCCGCGACCCCATAATATAGTTCCCCATGTTGTGGTGACCCCCAACCACTTATACATCACCGGGTGCCAGGGGCGTGGCCAAAGAAAAGGGGGAAAAATGGCGGACAGCCTTGTTTGGTGACCCCCATGAAATGGTCATTTGACCCCAAATGGGGTCCCAACCCACAGGTTGAGAACCACTGCCCTAGGATATTCCATTACAAAATAACCATTTATGAAAAAGAAACTTTACCTATCCAATCCACAATGAGCAAGAAATGCTGAATACATAATTAAGTTTCTCAAAATGTCTCAACAAACACAATGGTGTTTTTTTTAACCCATTACAATTAGCAGATTTGTCATTTGTCTCATATGTAACCTGCATCTGCATAACTAACTACCCAGTAGTCTTTTCCTCTCCCTCTGCATCATCCCAGTTTAAATCCCATATCAGTTTAGCTATTTTATGCAATTCATGAAGTGAATTGTTTTCTCAGGAAAGCTTATGGTTTTTTTATGAAATGTATTAGTTGGAAAAGACGCTACCAGGCTCCTGATTTTTTTTAATGAATTCAGCAACAGATTATGAGAACTGCAGTGTATATGCTTTATTCTATGTGTGTTGCTTATTTGGAAATTTCCCTCTGGTGTGTATTTCACATGGCACAATAATCACAGTTAGATTAGGTTTAGCAAATCCAGACCATACATTAAATTATGATTCGGGCAGAATGCTGCATGTTTTTGTTAACTGACAGTTAATTCCTGATTTGGAAATAAAAGCAGCCACAAAGAGGATTTCTAAGCTACCATTGTTTCCACTCCAATTCCTGCAAAGCCAATTAAAATTATTCCCATCTGTCTTCATAACTGCCACCCTTGAAATGCCAAAATCCAGGATCATTGGCTTGCTCTGAGTTGCTGCAAATACTGTGGTAACAAAAATCCTCTCATCCCACTACATAGAAAACCAAAAATAGGTAGCTTGCATGTATGCACACATATTTTTATCCTGTCTTTATTAATTGATAAATAACTGAAGGCGGTGAACATACCTAATACTACTTCCTCCTGTTTTCATCACAACAACAACCTGTGAAGTGGATTGGGCTGAGAGAAGGTGACTGGCCAGTCACCCAGCTGACTTTCATATCTAAGGCAGGATTAGAATTCAAAGTCTCCTGGTTTCTAGGCCAGAACCTTAACTCTACACCTACATATTCATCACTGACTTTATTTCAACATATGTTTGCCTGATTGTGTGCAAAAAATTACAGTAGTTTCTATGGTGAGGAATTGCAAACACATCAAGCCATTCTTATCCTTGAAAGCTCCAGACTTGAAAGCGTGATTTCCTATAAACAGGGAAACTATAAACTCCATAGAGCCACCTGTTTGTTTAAAATGCTTTTAATACACTTTCAAATGCATTGTATATGATCCCAAAATAAATGGACTTATCTCTTAAGCTGCTTTTGAACTGACACAGCACCCTGCTGTGTGTGAAAGTACTCCAAACACTAGATGTTCCAGCTATTATTCCATTGTTCCTGGTTGTATTTTTCCAGGTTGCAAACAAATGTATAAGATTTCAGCTGTTAATATAGTTGTTTTATATGCTTGGGGTACATACTTGCTATCTTTCCGGACTCCAGGATAGCATCCTTTAGACTTTGGCATTCTTCCTAATTGAGGGGCAACAGTAATATATTTCTGTGACACCAAAAGAAAGTCCCACTCATAGGTGTGCAAAGGTTTCAACTTTATTACATCATATGTTACATATGATACTTGCTGAGCGTTACAATTGAACTCAGGTTTAAGTAATTAATGTGGTGATTGATATTTAAATTGCAACCATGTCTGTTTTTTGCCCGCTAGGGTTATTTTTAATAACGCCATTTCATGGATAACTGTTACTCATTGTCAAGACTGTTGTGCAAATCTTTTGGCAGCAATAGTAATGGAGAGGCTAAACAGGAAAGACAAATAAGTTAATCATTTTCAGGAAGAGCATATTTCAGAAGTCTGAAGTCAAGAGGAAGTAGTAGTGAAAGAAATATTATGCGTTTTAGACAATATGCATAGTTTTATTGATTTTATTTATTTATATCCCGTCTTTTTTATTTTTATAACCAAGGCAACTGGAATGCCTAATACTCCTCCTCCTCCTCCTCCTATTTTCCTTCCAACAACAATCCTGTGAGGTGAGTTGGGCTGAGAGAGAGAGAGAGAGAGAGAGAGAGAGAGAGAGAGAGTGTGACTGCTCCAAGGTAACCCAGCTGGCTTTCATGGTTAAGGTGGGATTCCTGCTTTCTAGCCTGGTGCTTTAAGCACTATTACTATTATATTACTAACTGAAAATAGTTTTCATGTCAGCAGTGTCCCCAACTGCACTTAACAGCAGCACTATCATGCTTTGAAAACATGTTTTCCCTTTCATCCCCATGATTTCTTCATTATATCCTCAGCCAATGAATAAAGTGGTTTTAAGTCATCCTCATAGGTACTAGTATTAAGGTATTTTTTTTTCCACCTTATTCTAACACAACCTCAAGTTGTGTAGGAAGTCCAGTGACTAGTATTGACTAGAAGGATAGGGATTAGCACTAGGGAGAACAAATGTCTTCAGGCTTAGCTTTCTGCCACTCAAAGGACAGATTCATAGCACTTCAGCATGGTAATATGGAAGGGCTTAGAGAGAAATAAGTGACTTTTTTTTGCTTTTAGTTATCCCCCAATTGTGCCATCCAGGGTGACTGCCTCAGTTTTCCACATGATGGAACTGGCTTTGGCTATTTCCAAGTTGGGGTAAGAAATAGAGATGGGATCTCTCATGTGCCCCCAACCCCCACGTGAATTAACAAGACTTTTCTAGCGGCTGTTCAGACTGCCATATGAATTGTTTACTCATGCCAAAGAGGTTTTATTTATTGTAGATGAGTTCTACAATATTCGATAAAAATCTTCAGAAAAGATCAGCCCACACAAAGCCATATTTTGTTTGAATTATTTTCCAAATAAATTTACTGCCTCTTTACAAGATAAATGCTGACTCTATAAACCGCTTAGACAGGACTGTAAAGCACGGTGAAGCGGTATACAAATCTAAGTGCTAGTGCTAAGTGCTATATTATATAATTTATCAGGGTGCACATCCACCATTGCTAATTTTAGTTGGCACTTAAATTTCCTTTGGTTTCAAACAAATATACATTTCAGAAATAATCTGCCTTACAGATAATATGAAACATCTTCATACTCTTCTGTAGATTATCTTCTAACTTATCTCAGCATCGTTTTTCAATTTTTTGACTTCTGTTATTTGAACTTGGATGGATCAAAAAAAGTCTTGACAGATGACAAAGTAAATGAAGGCAGAGGAGAGAATGCAGTTCCTGTCATATAGAATCGACCCTCAATGTAAAAGTTGCAGTCTTCTTTGTTTATTTCAACAAGGAAGTAAATGTCTAGTTTTATCATGCCTAATTTTGCCCAAGTTTAAACAGTGTATTTCAACAACAGGAACACTAATCCAGAAATAGATCTAGCATATTCTGGATGAAGCTCCATCCTCTTTGAAAGTTCTAGATGTAAAGTTATAGGACTTGGAACAGGACCTCCTTGGTGGTGACATCCAGAAATCTGGATGGCTCCTTTGTTTTTTAACAAACCAATGAGCTTTTTTATGATAAATCTGTTAGATTTTGATGACTGGTTTCCTCTGGACCTTTTCCATTAGTGCTGTTGCCTGTTACTGCTATTTTAAATTGATTAGCTATTTTTTAAAAAAACTTGAGTGTTTTGTTTTTTAATGAGTTGTATTAATTACTATATTACTATAAACCATGGTCCCAAAGTAATATATTAACATTACTACAGTAGCAAAGCTACATAGAGACATTGATGATAATAATAAACGGCCTTCATATCATCAGCTTCAGTCAGCATGAACAAGGTAGCACAAACCTTTATGTAAACAGTGTATTTTATGCAAAAAAGAAACCGGAGGGAAGAAACTGTAAATTATAAACCACAAAAAAGGATTTCCTGACACAAACGTTAGAGTGCAGTGACCCAGCACATTCCTTCTATGCAGAAAATTCCAAGTTCAGGGCTTTGCATTTTAAATTAAAAACACACTAAAAAGCTTGTAATGAAAAGGTCCTTATTTTTCTGGACTACTCAATAACAGAGGGATCAAAAATCTTACATTCTCAGTCATTTGATTTACATTTCAAATAAAACTGAAACAAGTCATCCTACAAAGTCATTCTTCATGACCTTAGCCTTAACTGACTGCAGAATTAACCCCAATGTCTTCATCTCTGAATCCCATTAACTATACATACAGAACATTATAGGAAGCCTCCCAATTGCCTAGATCTTATGCTCAGAATGTGACAACGTTCTGGCAACTGCTGTCTGCTATATAACCATAATGACATGGGAATCATTTCATTTTACAAATGTATAAATATTATATTTTTCAAAAATATTTTATAAAATTTATAAGAAAGAAAAGGAAAAAAGTGAGGGAGAGAGAGGAAAAAAAAGAAAGAAAGAAGAAAAAGAAAGAAAGAAAGAAAGTCATACATTGCCTCCCCAGATTTTCTCCACAACCAACAATGCTATGATAGATTGGGTTGAGAGTGACTGAACAAATTCTCTCAGGGAGCTTCCATGGCTGAGAATGAACTTCAGCCTGGCTTTCTCTAGGCCAGTGATGGTGAACCTTTTAGAGACCAAGTGCCCAAAAACTGGCCCCGCCCCACCCCCACTCCACCCCCTGCCCCCACTCCACTCCCCATCCCCTGCCCCGCCTGCCTGCAGGGCCACTCACCGCCTCCAGGGCCTGCCACAGATTGCCCAGACAGCCTAGCAGCACCATGGCGGTCACGCCCTCTGCCCGCGCCCTGCAGCATCAACTGTACATGATGGGGTGTGAGGGCAGAGTCTTGTCTACGCTGCCTGGCTGCCATGTCCTTGGCTGCGCTGCTCCGTGTGGGCCACCTTCAGGGGCGACTCTCCTTCAGGGGGGCTGCTGGAGAGGAGGGGGTCACGGGGGAGGCAAGGCTGGGGCAATGGCACGTGTGCCCACAGAGAGGGCTCCAAGTGCCACCTCTGGCACCTGGGCCATAGATTCGCCACCACTGCTCTAGGCCTACTGCAACATTTCTATTACCATGAAATTTTTGTTTACACAAACAAAAAGCATCTTGTTGTACCTTAAAAACTGACCTGAACTGATCCAAATTCATTTTGGCATACATTTGATGAAGCTATTTATTTATAATTGATATGGCACTCATTCCAGTAAACCCTTGATGAAAACTTGTGCATTTGTTGGTTTTTGAGGTATTCAAAAACAATTCATTGGTTTGGCAACAAAAGTCACCTATGTCTTCCACCGGAAACTCTACTATCTTCTTATCCATCATTCAAAGACTCACCCTTCTCCCACCAGAGAATGTTCTAAGGTTGGGTTCATTTGGTATTATCCTAGATATTTTGATCCCATGGATTAGAGCTGAAGAGGTAAAGCTTTAAATATGGCAAGATGGGCATTTTGTCATTACATGAATTTAGAAATGAAGCAAGGCAGTCTTGGAAAGAAGATTGCTTGTAGTTTATTTACAACAGAATGTAAGAAAAGGCAGTTTTACAAACAATAATAAATAACTGAAAAAGCAACAATTATGTATGTATGGAAACCATGAGACTCAGATTCTTCTAGTCATGTCTTGTATTGTGTAACTTGGAGCATTTGGTCCTTCCTTCATTACACTAACCTTACCACCAAAAACAAACAAACAAAAAAACAACAACAGAAAAACCCCACTATTATACACAGCACTCAAAGTCACAAAGATTGTCACAGAAATGAAACAAAAAACCTATTTCTAGAGGGAACATTAAAAAAAAACATGGACAATTCCAAGACGATGCTGTCCAAACAAGAAGACCCTTCCCCACGATTAGTTTAGCTTCAAGCCTTTATGAAAACAGAAGATTGAATGATAGTGATTAAAGAGTTCCTACTGACAAGTTCATGAACCCTCCCCAGTCTTATGATTTAACTACCGTGAAGTGCCTACATTGCATGTCTTTTAAACAACAGCCATGTTCTAAAGTTCCAGTGCAGCAAATCCCAACCCAAAGTAGTTGCATGAGAGGAATGTTGCTTGACTAGAGGCCCTCAGCTAAGCATGTTTTGACCTTTTCTGCTCACAGAGTGGTGCCTTAGAATCCAGCCCCATATGTGATTAAAGACACACTTCTCTCTTATTATGGTTCAAATAAAAACAGCAATTTTCATTTCTATCAACCAAGTTTTAAAAAGATTTGTTAAAAAAACCTGAAACATTGCCAATGAAACAGAAACCTGCAGTAAGAAAAATTGCCTAGAGCATTTCTATTCTAGATGAGATCATTCCAGTTGGGCCCTTTAACAGTAATTTGATTTATTTATTATCCCACCTTTATTATTTTTATGAATAATTCAAGGTGGCAAACATACCTAATAACTCATTCCTTCTCCTATTTTCCCCACAACAACCACCTTGTGAAGTCTCTACCTGAAAATTGATGAGGCTTTTTCAATTCATTCAATATGAAATAATTGATCTAAACTTACATCAATTGCGGTATGTCCACTGATATGTGAAAAACAGCTAGGCTCAAAATGATTTTATGGCAATTTAGCCATTTTTGTTGCAAACTTTCTTAGCAAATATAACCCCATGAAGATTTCTAACCCATGTACATGGATTTTTAAAGATTCACGTACATGGAAAGCATAACTGATGAAAATACACCAGAGTTTTCAACGATAAAGTTTGAGCAACCTTCTTGAGTCTCTCATGAATAAACTTAATTTTTTTTAATTCTTTTGCTTAGGAGGTCAAAGATGGGTTTTGAAACAGATAATTTTAGGAGTCCCTTTTTTGATAGGAAAGTTTAATTTAAAGCCAGCAGTATATTCATTTCAGAACACATTCCTCCTTTCTCTTCTTAATAATGATCAAATGTTCTCATTGAAAAAAGGGAAACCAGGACTAGAGTACAAAAGCCTAGTCAGGCTTCTGTTTGTTTTGCTGCACCAGACTTTATTGAAAGTGCCACTTTGTTCCACAAAACTAATAGATAAAACATCCACAGGTCTGATCCTCACAAAAAACATACTGCTAAAAATATACAGCATATTCTGTACAAAAAATCAGACAAGTCAACAATACAACTTAGCCAAACCTTTTTCCCCATGGAAAAGACACATTAGAGCAACCAAAAATATTCTAGAGATTTAATTTAGTTGTTCTTTTTGTGTCAGAAATACGGTTTTTTTTAAAACAGAGGACAAAAATCAAGAAAGAAAAGTAAATGGGATAATTTTATAACTCATGGAAGGAAAACAGAATATGAGAAAAGAGCATAAAAGAATTTGTGAAGAGCATAGGTGTCTAAGAGTGTATATGCTGAAGAAACATCCATTTGTTTTTTGCTAATTCCTGGAAATATAGGAAAAGCAAAGAGTAGGCAGATTGACACATGGATTGTGTCAGCCATCATTTAGACATGCAGAAGAATCAAATTTTGTCTATTCATTAAGCACCCAATTTTAATAGCACATCAAGTTGAACAAATAATTCTTGCTGCAGCATTAAGAGCAGAAAGTATAGAAAAGTCCATTATTTTTCCGTAGCATGCTATTACCTTTCATTTTTGTACTATGCAGCCTTTTAACAAGCATAAAACACCTGATCTTATTCCCAAGCCAAAGTATTGAGGAAGAAGTGAAACAGTTAAAATAAATCAACACAATGATTTGATGTCTTGGCTTATTGATTTTTGCAAGATTCTAACAGCAGATACAGAGAGAGCAACGTTTGGCTTAAAATCACAGAAATTATCATAATTTTCTGCTAACTTAAAGCCACAAACTCAGGATATATTTATGTACAGAAATGTAATAATAATACTAATAATGAAAACATGTATTAACAAATGTCACACAGAACTTCAGAATGCTGAGCAAGACAGAAAAAGATATCTTGAGTAATAACTGGGAAAAGGCATGAAGCTAAATGATGGGGGGATTAAATACAGAATTAGAGCTACTACAAATTTTGAGTTTTCAAATGCACATAGCGCATTCTGTTCTCCCACTCTACCTTTCTATGACTAAAACCTAAACAACAGTTCCCTTGGTATGTACAATTTAAGTAAGAAGTCACTTGAGAGTTAATTGGAGATTTAAGTCTGCTACACTTTTTCATATGAAAATTCATGCTGCCGTGCTTACTAGAAATTTTTTATTATTCAAAGTTATCTTTATCCCGCCTGAGATCTGGATATATATTTTTATATTCCCCTTGTACTATCGCTATATGTTTATGACACTTTCACAAATGATTCTAATTTAGATGTGGTTAACTACTGACTTAATTTACTAAATTTACTTAATTTACAATTCTGAATGAATTGTAAAGAAAGGAACAGATGCCAAGTGTTCTAAATTGTATATGGGGAAGTATCTTTGATTCCTGAGACAGAAGGGTGATGCAATTAGCAGGCCAATATTTTGTCTCTCCAAAGTACATGGCTGGGTGCAACTAATACCGCTTTCTGAGGTACCAGAAGCCAAAAGAAAAACAATTCTATTTTCATTGTTGGAAAAGAATACCATTGAAGGAGCTCAGGAAGCTGGCAAGTTGTTTTGTTTCTGTCAGAAGATTTAGAAGATTCCCACATAACTTTTTTGCTCTTAAACAAGCACTAGACAGAGGCTTCTTAATGAGTTGTCAACTGTAGCAGTGCAAGATTGTTTTCCTTTCCATTTTCAATTCAAGTGCCTGCACAGGTAGTTTTTGACTTACAACTGTAATGGAGCTGCCCATTATGGTCATAAATTGTGAGTCGTACAACGGTCATCCACCTGACCAACCTGATTTTATGACCTTTTCTGCAGTGGTTGTTAAGCAAACCAATTGTTTCCAATGGGCAGGTTTTGCCCAAAACCAGAAGTAAATGCCAGTTTTTGGCAAAAATGTCATAAAAGGTGGTCACAGAATGTGGGATTTGCAAACACCCATAAATGTGGGCTGGTTGCTGAGTGGTTGAAATGCAATCATATGATTGCAGTAGTACCTGTTGGAACTTTGGAGCCAGGTTGCAAGTTCCCAGAGGTGGGCTGTCCTAACTGAGCAATCACTAAGCAACCGGTTGGAAGTCAAGAACTACCTGTATTCAAAGGAAGCAATAATAATGAGCACAGTTGAATAAAACTACCTCTTGTTGGACAATGCATTGAGTCTCACTCTCTTGAGCATGATATAGTAGACTTACTGGTAGACGCATCTTTTTAAAAGAAATTGTTGAATCTCCCAGGATTTTTCTTTCTTAATTTTATTAATGGCTCAGCCTTACAATGTATTAGGGTTGAGCTGCTGACGAAAGCTAAGTTTTTAAATAAATTCCTTAGTCTCGGTGATCTGTGTTTTAGTTTTTGAATATGAATATACCAGAGACTCGCATCTTCAAACACACACACACACACACACACACACACACACACACACACACACACACACACTGAATATATATATAGTGAATACATTGTAAGGCTGAGCCATGAATAAAATTAAAAAAGAAAAACCTGCAAGGTTCTAAATATCTTGTGTGTGTGTATATGTATTTCATTCTACAAACCCTGTGTGTATGGATGTATATATGTGTGAATGTATGTGTGCGTGTATACACACACAGAGACACACTGACACACACGTACATACAGGATTTTTAAAATGAGAGAAAGAAACTGAACAGTAAGCCTAACATATTTGTGCTACAATCTGTTGCTTTTGTTTTAACAGGCCAGCACGAACACCCTCAGCAAAACTTCAAGTCATGGAATGACTACTCACAATGTTGCAAAAAACAGGCTGACTTTTTCTTCTTTTTAATGGGGTTTTCAATCTGGACTTTCATTAATTTCATAGGAACTCAGAAGACCTGAATTGAATTATGAATTAATACTAGCGTTGTTTCTTGGGATATATTTGTCCCATTTGGGCTTTGGAACCTATTTTATTTGTTGGTGTTTCCATTTTTCTTCCTGCAATAGATCCCCATTCTCCAAAATCAACACAGAAAAGTTTCACAACAGCACAGAATAAAAAGGAGTTACAAATTTTTGTGCAAGATACAAATAGTTCCAGGGTCTCAAAATGATTATAATTTAAGACAAAACTAGAGCACGTTGTTTCTTTAATTTTTGAAGAGTGTGCATTAGCTACACCCAAATCCTGAGTTGTATTCTATAAAAAGAAAGCTGAATCTATTGGTATTCAAGTGTTGATCAGTGAATCAGCAGTTCCAAGGTTTACTTTAAGGTGCATTCGGCCTGAGAATAAAAAAGGATTTCAGAAATGGAGATATAATGGCTTGAAATGAGAAATATTGTCTGAACCTGTAGCTAAAGAGAACCTCATTCTCTCGGGATGTCCTCACCAGCTTCATGAAATCCCTGTAAACCTCTCCAGTCATCAACACTGCAATTCTACATCTTCTGTTTGCAGCCATCACTACAAGAGACTGCTTTTGCTTGTTTTTTTTGTTTTTTTAACCAGCTATTTCATTCTGGGTTGATAGCAACATTTGTCATATGGCTTAGAGCTTTAGTTTGGGAATCAGAGCACATGAACTATGACCTTGCATGCATTTAGCTAACTAGTTTCAGGGGAAGACTAAGGGAACGGGGTGGGTGGGTGGGAATGGGAAATGCATGATTCCAGATCAATAATATTTGTTTAAATTGAACAACTACCGTGAACTTTGCAAATGATATTCTGTCAGTCATAGCTTGTCATAAGGGAAAAAAAACCATGCTGGGTTTAGAGAGTGTTTTTATCTGGATCTGGCAGCGTGAGAGTTTCTGGGGCAGACTTTTTCCGCTGACGATCTTTCGGAACCGCTAGGAATTCTGGTGCGTCTGTAGACAGAGGTGTAGACGGAGCACTAGAAGGACCACTGCGGATCGAAGAGGGAAGGGAGATATTCGAGATGGATATCACAGGAGGGAAGATTCCAATTTTCTTGTTGGTGGCTTCCTGAGTTGCTCTTTCAAATTCTCGGACTTCATCCATAGTCATGTCTTTAAGGAGAAGGAAAGGAAGAATTGGTTAGGACAACTGGGCATCAGATGGCACCAGCGCAAAGCTTTATTCAGATGGTTTGTCTTTAAGGAGTCACGCCCATCAGTGTGCATGTTTACTTAAGAGGAGCTACGGCCACTAGTTCAGAAGTGCTGCTGAAATCTCAGGAGCCCCAATTGAACATTCCTCTCACTGTTAAGAGTTGTTGGCCACTGAAAGGAGGACTCTGGGACTGCAAAACAAAACTGTTTTTTCAGGTTGAGCGAAAAGCGTAAGATAGCAACATTGGTTTATTTCCAGAATTACGGCAGTTCTTGACTTACGACCACAACTGAACCCCAATTTTTTGTTGTTAAGCAAGGCAGTTGTTAAATGAGTTATGCCACATTTTACAATCCTTTTGCCACAGTTAAGCGAATCCCTGCACCCGTATTTTGATCCCGTGACCATGGGGATGCTGCAATGATTGTTAAGTGTGAAAAATGTTCAAAAGTACTTTTTTCAGTGCTGTTGTAATTTTGAATGATCATTAAATGAATGGTTGTAAGTTGAGGACTACCTATACATTTTTATCTGTTTTTTTTTTTGCTGTTTATCAGGGTCTGAGTAACCTATGCCTATAGAAAAAAGGTATCAATATTGCACTAAAATAGTTGAGATTATAAATGAAACTCCAGTATTTTAAAACTCAACAAAAATATTGTTAAAAATTCAAGTCACTCTAAAGTATACAATTGAAAAAAGCCAACACACATTTCATTCCTAACATGAGAAGGAACGCAATGATGGCAACAAATGAACACTGCCTGCTGCAAGTTAAAATTGGTTGTAAAATATATGGTGCCTTTTTTTTCTAACAGTCATGAATTGTTAGAATTCAGTTGTTATATATAGTAATACACCTGAAATAACTGCATTGCCTAGTTATGGCTACAACAAAAGCTCAATGTAGCCAAATCAGATTCTTTACCTAACTGAAGTATCTTGGGATTTTTATTCAGATATATAAAATATTACAATATTGAATAATTCCACCAGAGGGCAGAGTTATACTTCGTTGCAATGTGTGTTTCCTTCAAACACAACATTACAAATTTCATAGAGTATAAATATCTCTGTGGTTATTTCCTTCTATCAGTTCAAAATCCAAGATGGGTTCAGCAAAGGGCCATATGAGTTTTCTGCACTTCTAGCGAGATTAATGTTTTGAATATCGGGGAAGAGTTTCTTAATCACAAGAAATTCCAGCTTCCTTTGAGTTTCAACTTCCCTGCATTGAGCATGGATTCCTAAGGAAGGTAACTAAGAGAAGTTCAAATACAAATACCAAACAAATGGTTGTTAAGAGCTTTTTGAAACCATATACTCAGGGAAAATCTAATTAGTAAAGTTTTAAATTACCTCTCATCACTTCTGGGAGATAAATAGTGCAAAACACTTTAACAAGAGCAGTTGGTACTGATATCAATATTATGTGGCTCCTCAGTAACTCGGATTAATGGCTGAAGTCATGACAAAGGCAAGAGAGAAGCATGGAAATGGAAACCTACCACAAGACTAGCTTTATTATTTCTTGATTTCTTGATATTTACAGGTATTTCTTGACTTGTGACCATAATTGAGCCCAAAATTTCTTTTGCTAGGTGAGACGTTGGTTAAGTGTGTGTTGCCCCCATTTTACGACCTTTCTTGCCACAGTTAGGTGAATCAATGCAGTTGTTAAGTTAGCAACATGGTTGTTAAGTGAATCTGTTTTCCCCACCGACTTGGCTTGTCAGAAAGTTGCAGAAGCTGATCATATGATCCCAAGACACTGCAAACGTCATAAATATGAACCAGTTGCCAAGCTGGTTGATCATATGTGATCAAAAGTGTGAAAAGGGGTCATAAGTCATTTGTAACTTTGAACTATCACTAAATGAATTGTTGTAAGTTGTGGACTACCTGTATTTAATCTTCGCTGACAAGATAAAACTATCTGTATTTATTTATTTATAACAGGAAAACAAGGTTCAGACATACAGATTTATTGCATCAAAACTGTGGAAATAATTATGAAAGACTTCCAATACCCCCTTTTATTGAACATTTTTTGCCAAAATGAACACTGAGATTTCTTGTCCCTGTTCCTCCCACCCACTCTAGGTTAAGGGATAGGAGGGATTCTCTTTTGGGGAGGAGATATCCTTTCCATCTGTTTCCAGTTTTGATAACAGCCTAATTTAGGATCAAGTTATTTTGACAAAGTGAGATCTTAATACAGATAGTCCTCAACTTACAACACATTTCGTGACCATTTTTCACAGTTACAACCTTCGTAGCATCCCCCATGATCATGTGATCAAAATTCAGACGCTTGGCAATTGGTTCATACTTATAACCATTGCTATGTCCCAAAGTCACGTGATCACTTTTTGCAACCTTCTGACAAGCAAAGTCAATGGGGAAGCCAGATTCACTTAACAACTGGCTTACTAACTTATCAACTGCACTGATTCACTTAATAATTGTGGCAAGAAAGGTTGTAAAATGTGACAAAACTCACTTAACAAATATCTCACTTTACAACTGAAATTTTGGGCTCAATTGTGGCTGTAAGTTGAGGACTACCTACATGTAAAAAGAGAACGTAAAAGGTACATTCTTGTTTACTACAAAAATTTGGGTTTTTTTTTTCAAGAATTCCCATTGCCATTAAAAGATTTATTCTTTGTTTATTCCAGTGTCCAGCTAGGTCAGGGATAGGCAACCTTGGCTCTTTTATGACTCGTGCTAACTCAGGAATTCTGGGAGTTGAAGTCCACGAGTCATAAAAGAGCCAAGGCTGCCTATCCCTGAGTTAGGTGGTATCATTTAGTTAAACATATTAGATTTCCAAAAACTAAACAGAATTAAACCTGGTTAATTTGTGGATCGGGGAATATAAGAAAAAACAGGAAACTAGAATGGATGATTTTAAAAAAATTCTGAAGAAGGCAGTGGCAAAATGCTACCATTGCCAAGAATCTTCTCTATGAAGTTATCCGGAGCTGAGCTTAACTCAAGAAGAGTTTATTTTTCCCAAATTAATGCTTTATTCTTTGGAAATAAAAGGTGCCACCTCCATTTCCTTTCCTTTCCTTTTCCTATTTGATTACTGCTGCTTGAGTGAAATGCAATAATTTAAATGAAATGAGAAAGAAGCTGACTTGCATAAAATAGCAGCCTGATTTATATATAACAAAACATTATGTATTATTACTTATTTTCAACAGGGTATGAAGAATGAACCCATCCGTTATATCTTAGCATTATATGCAAACAAACTGGACCATTATACCTTGTTAAATAAACTACAGTTTAAAGAAATCCTGGCTCAGCAATCTGAACCAGGATATTATCTATTTCTGAAGAAAACTGTAGCATTGGGATATAGATCTCTGATCTAATAGATCTCAGCCAGTAAGAGAAAGGATTGTTCCAGGTATGATACAGACCTCCCATCAATAGGCAGAGAGAACAGAAACAAAATTGCCACATGGTACATTCGGTTAAATTTAACCTGACAATTTAATTTTCCTTGGAGATATCTCACTGCAGCTAAAGATGTGTACGGACATGCAGTGCATCATCCCTTGGGTTTATTTTTTATTCTTAATTCAAGGATAGATGTAATTAGCAACTCAAATGCCATTCACTTTGTCATGTCTTTTTTTTTCAGCGTAGCAGAATGTTCAAGTGAACCACTGTTTTCTTGTTTTATTTCAAACACATACACCTTAAAGCCCCTTAATTTTTTTTTTAATCCCATTGTTAAAATGTTAACGAGAAACTCTTTTGACAAAAGAGAAATGTTTTGAAGGTGTCACAGAGAAACGAGGCATCAGTGCCTCTGTCCAGCTGGCTTAGAAAATAAGAACAATTCAACTTTTAAGAGAAGACTGCAAATGGAAATGCTTGTACATCTCAGGCTTCTACTTGGAGTCAACCCACCAAAATATATAAGCTTGCAAAACCTTTTTCAACCTTGTGTTGATCCTTCCAGAACTTGATGGGGAAAATGCCATAGGAGAGGCAAACAGTTGCAGTGACCAGGGCTACTCCCATAGCAATCTCCTAAAGCTCAGCATGTTTTGTTCCTCGTTTGCATTAGGAGATGGTGGGCAATATTTTTAAAGGCACTACATACACTTCCTTTGGCATGGCTCTCTATTTCATCCACAGGAGATGAATGTTGATTGCACACTTTAATGTTCGTTTTTTCATGCATATTTTTCTCATAACCTCGAACATCATCCAAAGTCATATCTGAAAAAAGTTCAAGACGATGGGACCTTCCATTAATTCAAACTCAATTTTTAATCAAAGGAATAATCTAGGCGGGAAAAAAAGTCCTTCCTAGCAAAAGCCACAAAGCAGGAAGCCAATTCTGGTATCAGTAGGCGAACAGCTAGATAAACCAGCCAAGGAAGGTAAGTTATAAGAAGGATCAGTTAAAAGGAAACACAGTGTAGGGATTGGGGAAATTGGTTATTTCTGTGAAATGGGCTAGGCAAGAAAAGTGCAGGGTGCAGGCTTTGCCAAAGGCAGACATCTTCTAAAATAAATTTAGAAGATTTCCTGGTGGAAGAAAGAGGAAGGATTAAAGAACAGCTCAAAACTCTACTTACCTTGTCAGGAACTTTGCAACACAATTATAGAGCACTACTTTAAATAACATTATGCTCCCTATCAATATATTACATTATTTTAACTCTACCTGGCTTAGACTGTAGAGCAGTGGTTCTTAACCTTTTTGAACGAATTATCCCCTTGAGCCAATGAGGAAGTTGTCATCGCCCCCCCTCCCCCAACATAACCTCTCAATCACAACATAGGAAATATTTCTTCAATTTATGCAAACCCTTTTTTGTTTTCTTTAAAATTGTCGTCAGGACATATCGATTCAAATAATTTATTTCCAGTCTTTCCCCCATATCTCCCATATTCTGGCCAATGGCGTGCCACTGTATGGGTAGAGGCTGCTGCACAATACGCATGAAGATAAGCGATGCGTGTTTACAAAATGTACGGCGTTCTGTACTGAAGCTAGCTGGAGGAACATTTGAAAACACAATTCAATCCACTAATAGCGAGCAATCTGATGTTTTTGTACGACAGATATACAGCAATTCACTGTACGAAAAAGTCTCAAAAGTGTCCCCAAAACTTCTCGCTCCATCGCCCCCTTTTCGTTCCTTCGCCCCCGTGTCGCCCCTTTTCGTTCCATCGCCCCCCTGAAAAATGAAATCGCCCCCTGGGGGGCAATATTGCCCAGGTTAAGAACCACTGCTGTAGAGGATATTGAACCCTGAAGATTAATAGTAGAGCACTTGTGAATAATAGATTAATTGAAAATTTTAAATGCTTTGAAAGTCAAGCTACCATCAGTGTCTCTTCATTTTTTTTTATCGTAAGGCTATCTGGTAAAATTACTCTACACACAATCCAGTTCTCCCACAATAGTGATAACACGAATATGTGGGCAATGTTAAAAACATCTACAGGAACATGTGCACACTGAATTTTGTTCTCTTCTCTGAAGGAAAGAGTGCTCTTATATTGCAGTAGACACCATTACATTATATTCTTTTAGCACTTTTCTGTCTTAGCACACACTAGTAATTCCACTCTCATAATACGTTCCATTAATATTTATATATTCACATATTATCATCGCATTTTGCTTTTTTCTCCCCTTCACTTAAAATTAAGGAGCATTAAAAAGCACTGATCAAAGAAGCTTATAAGCAATGGGACCAGCATGATCAGAAGCATTTGTGCCAAGCAGTGTTCAAGCTCTTCATTAGCAACTTTCAAATTAATGCAAGAAGGCTGTCTTACAGCAAAGCTAACTGTGTATTAGTCAAGAATCTTACACATGTCTACAGGATAGTAGGTCACACTAAAATCATGGCAATATTTGTACACAAGTTTAGGATTGAGGATTAGTCTGCAATTAGAAGATGAAGCTCTTGCATCAACCAAATATGCATTTTAAAATAAATGAGATCCTGAGCAGTTCTATATTAGTCCAGGGAATTCATTTGATACCCCTAAGAAACATATACTTTCTGCGCAGAGGAAATGTTGAAGATTGGTCAAAGTGGTAAAACATCCTAATTCTATACATTAATCTACTGTTATTCAACAATTAACAATCCAAATAAAGAGTTGTCAGGAAGTGTAAGTGCACTGGAAGGCTTCATGCCCACTGCAGCGCTCATGATTCTCATGTATTTACAGTAATTATTTGGGGCCTGCCAAAAAGTTATTAGCACCGTCTGATTGTTCAATCCTGCTTAATAGTTTGATCATCACAGGAAGCTCAGTTATAAGAAATGGAGAGACTGCGACTTTTCTTAAAAGATAAAACAAAAGAACATTTTGACTTTTGCCACAAGACATTTATATAAAATGATAAAAGAGTGGACACCTAGTCTCATGAGAGAAATCAAATTTCAGTGATATTTCCTTTTAAAGATTTCTTATCCTTTTAGGTAAATGAAATTTTAATCTTTGGAAAGTGGTTCAGGTCTGGATAATAAAGGCCAGCTGGGAAGTTCAATTATAAATCTGAATAAGCCTTAGTACTATCGATCACATTGCATTTAATGGAACAAAAGGCCAACTTTCCTGATGTCCAGACTCATTTCACTCCTTTCCCTATTCCATGTTTTCTAGGTTACACAAATAGGGATTTGACTGGTTGATTTCAAATATTTTTTACAGTGAATAACTTTTTTACTTTATTACAGGAAAAATAAGCTTATCTAATATAAAATAATATTAGTTATACTGAAGTTTACAATTTAGTAATTATATATAGTTGATACCTCTGCACAATATGTTTAAAGCTTATTTATTTATTGGTTATTGCATTTATACCAACATATACCTATATTTATCATCCACTGCAACAAATCAGTAGGTTTAAATTGGATCTACTGAATGAGTTTTTTTCAACCCATTTCACAATCTTCAATCTATGAGTGCCCTTATTCAGCACAAAAGTGAACATTATGAACCAGGGCAGACACAATACAGAATTATGGTTTGGAGCTTGGAAGAAAGTCATAAACTTGAATATTTGCTTGTCTCAATTTTGAAGAAGTGGAAACTTCTGCAGAATTGTTGCTTGGCAAGGATATCCCCAACACAGTTAATTATTTCTATTTCACCTTTACTCTAAGCACTCAAGGCCATCCATGTTATTATCTCCCTTCATTTTATCCCCACAAAAATTTCCTAGCCTTAAGATAGATTAGTTGTAAGCACTCAAGGCCATCCATGTTATTATCTCCCTTCATTTTATCCCCACAAAAATTTCCTAGCCTTAGATAGATTAGTTGAGAGACTGATTGGCTGAAACTCAGCTATGTGTTGAGTTTCCATGATTGGGGATAGACTTGAAACTAATCCTAGTACTGTACAACATCTTAGACATTACATCATGGTGCTGGTGCTGAAATTCAAACTCTGTTTTTAATATCACAATTTGCGATTTGGTACTAGTCTTTAAAACAGGTACGTTAGATTTGAACCAGATAGATTTTGAATTTAATTCGAATTAAACTTGCTACTTAAGAGTTACAGATACTAAAGTACACATTTGATAAAATTATGAAACCAATACTGCAGCAGGATTGTATCCAGAGCTGCAAACATATCCTGCAAGTAAGTATAAACATTCTAAAATTCTCCTAGCGTTTTGTCTGAAGGATAGAACATGCTCTCCTTTTGTGTTAACTATTTTAATAAAAACAACTAGAATAAAAATAAGCAGGTCACGCAGTACATGTCTTACAAAGTTTTGTGCTTCTAAATAGTTCTCTTTTAAAAAGCATGACTTACCATACCATTCATCCACCCACGCAAATGCTTGTCGGTGACCAATTAGCAATATGTCTTTGACCACCTAGGAAAATTAAGAAAGATTGAAAGGCTGAGAGAACAAGGGCCAGAAACAATAGTTTGTGGTAGAGGTCGAAACAATAGTATGTGGTAGAGGTAAAAAACATGAAGTATCAGGATCACTTAAAGTCTCTGAAAGCCTTAAGGGATTGTCTTCAGAGGCCATCGGGAACTGTTGCCAAATTTCTAATGAAACAAAACCATGAAATTCAGGGCTGGAGAGTAGAATAATGTTATTCAATATACTTACATTGGAGCAGGGGGCTCCTTTTTAGTGTACAGAGTCTTGCCTGGGTGTCCCAATGTGGTTTTACCCCAGAGTTCATTGCACAATTCTGTTTCTGCTTCTGGGAATCCCACTTTTAATTTCTCCTTCGCAGACATGTGACTCTAGGTTCCCAGCAGTTGCCCACAGTGAGCAAGTCAGGTGGATAAGTTTGGTCTTTGTGCTCTCCTTTGGTTTCCCCCCCCCACACACACACTTAAATCTTCTGACAAATATTTTATCTTTGCTGTAGGGTACTATCCTGGGAAGGAACAACAACAGCAACAGCAGCTCTGCCTGAATAAGGTCAATAACATGAAAACATTTTCCAAGTTCCTGAAGATTGTAGGCAGCCTCTAGTTGTAAGTCTCACAACTAAAACCAAGTGACAAGCTCTTTTGAAGCCTAGATCACACTTTTTCAATTGTTTTCTTTTTTATTTTCAAGAGGCACAGAGGACAAGGTGATAACAAGCTGAAGTCATTAGAGAGCAGCACTTTTGTGTTGTTTAGGTTTTGAGAAATTCTGTAAAATTGGCACTTTCAAAGAGCCCTACTCAACTGTCTTTGAAAAAAAAGTGACATTATATCTCTGCCATTCAACTGTTTCCCACCATGAGAAGTTAGGAAGATGTCAAAAAGAGATGGGGATCCATAGGAATTGAAAGCTGATCTCACCTTGTTTGGTGAGGATCCCCTTGATTTTCCTGACCTCTCACTCTCTTTTCTGCAAGCCCTGGACAATTCCCCCATCCTCTTATGGTGAAGTTGGTGAGTGACTTTGTGGCTAGAACTAAACACCCCTTAACAGACTTACATTAGCTTACTTTCCCATCTTTCACATAGTGGTGAATGATAATTCTTGACAATAGCAAGTAGTAAAGTGAACAAGGTTTGTGCAGTAAGAAGTCCACATTGTCTTTGAGTAGCTGGAGGGAAAAATATGTTCCTGACTTACACGATCAAGTAGAAGAGAACTAGGCAAAAGTTGTCAGCAGGCAACTTTTGAGGGATGGCTCATAAACCAACAGCATGCATTGCATTCTCTTCTACTGTATCCCAAGGTCATAAAACAGTATACAAGTAGTTCTCAATTTACAACCATTTGTTTAGTGACAGTTTGAAGTTACAACGGCACTGAAAAAAGTAACGTATGACTGCTTTTCACACTTATGACTGTTGCAGCCTCTCTATAGTCACGTGACCAAAATTCAGACGCTTGGCAACTGGCATATATTTATGACAGTTGCAGTGTCCTGGGGTCATGTGATCACTTTTTGTGACCTTCTGACAATCAACGTCAATGGGGAAGCCAGATGCATTTAACAACTGTATTACTGACTTAAAAGCTCCAGTGATTCACTTAAGAACTGTGGCAAGAAAGGTCACAAAATGGGGCTAAATTCACTTAACAACTGTCTTGCTTAGCAATGGAAATTTTGGGCTCAGTTGTGGTTATAAGTAGAGAACTACTTGTACTTATATACTAAGATACGATCTTTTTGTAGATGGGGTACAATGTTTTACTTAGTGTTAAATATTACTGTTTAAAATAAATCATCATGGCCCCTAATATATTTAGTTTTGCTTCTAAATCCTGGGGGGGGGGGTATTAAAATGGGGTATTTGGATTCCAGGCAACCTCACTTCCAAAATGCAGTCAAGAATTGGGGCATAATTCATAGAAAGTGAATTTCGCTATTTCTGAAACCTGGAACAGCTGTTTATCATCAGAGTAGATTTATCTGGACTCCATGTATAATCAGTTAAATGCAAATAATCATCAGAAATAGTCCGGCATTTCCTGAAAATAACATCCATATCCTCTTATATTCTGCAGAATTTCCTTTTCCGTTTTCTTCTTCTTTGTCTGTTTCAGACCTTCAATCTAAGATAAGCCAACAATGTGCAGAACTTGCCGACATAAATTACAAACAGATTACATTAGCAAGTAAACAGCATAGCTAAGGATTTATCTCTCTCTTTCATGACCATCAAAGGCATCAAAGGGAAGAGAAATGTTGGTTAGTTTCATTTCATATGCAGGTCTCTGTCAAAATAGACTGAAAAACAGTGCTGCAGTGGGTCAGCAGCCATGGTGCTTGTCTTCAGAAGCTACCTGGGAAAGTATAATCATGCAATTTTGGAAGAAAACTAGGCTTCATAAATTGAAATAATGATAGGGCCTCTAAGAAAGCTTTTTCAAATAAACTATGTATTCTGTCAATAGGATAAAGCTAATCCGATGGGATTAGAGCCAACGAACTGGCACAACTTTCTTGAAGATAAATACTTCAACTGTACAACTTATTTTTTTTTAAAGAAATACGTAAAAGGAAATAGCATTCAATGAAAATGAGTGTTTGCACAGAGAAGGTGGACAGAGATAATTTATTATTTTTCTCTAATTACAGGATGATGACTCAAATGAGGAGAGTTTAACTTGGTGATTCTTTACTCGAAGGGTTGGTGGTACCCACCAACTTGGCAGCCTTAAAAATGGAGTAGGTAAATTCATGGAGAAGATGACATGGAGCAGCAAAGGCTGCAGGTGATCTCCAGGACAGGAGTCACGATTTGCCCTGACATTTTAAAAGTATCTGTTTTCTCTTTTCTTCCTAAAAGAAATCTTGATAATTTTGATTCGGAATCTTCACAATGACATGCAATTCTGAATTCTGGAAAACTAAGTCGTACCAGATAATTGCTTCTCTTGTTATGAGCTTTCAGAAGGACATAATTCACCTCAGTCTTAAGTTTTCCCCTTCAGCTCCTGCCCTAACTTCTTTTTGTTGGCACTGTTTCAAAGTTCCATTGTTTCTTTTTCTGAGTCAATCATTCCTTGCCTTCTGGTTATTGCTTTTAATTCTGCCATCCTTAATTCTTCTTCCTCTCTTTCTTTCTCCTATACACCACTCCATGAAAACTCAGTGGATTTCTAAATGGATTTTCATATATAAATTATCATGGTGCATCTCAGCTGGGCAGAGATTTGTAACATCACTGTAATTGCATGGAGATTTTCATGGAAATAACTCACATTATAATTAAAAAAATACTATATTTTGAAATAAATGTACACGTTATTTCCTGCTTTTTTTTTTCTTTTTGCGTTGTTAACCTTTAGTACAAGGCTTTTCAACCTTTTCACAGATTGTACCACTTTTAGCCCTGCTTTAGTAGATATCCCTTGTGGTTGTGTTTAATCCTTGAATCAACTTACTGCAATCCTGATGTCATGTCAAACTCTGTTTCAGTTTTGGTGGTGTTTTACACATTAGAACCCTGAGTAAATATAATGAGAGAGACTTTCCTCACCAGAAAACCTCAGACCTTTCTGTAGCTATATAATAACTTAGCAAGATAGCAATATTTAGCCTGGATCTTCCTGTTTCCTAGCTGGCTAACCAACTATATTATCCTTATTGTGGTATAGCAACTATTTTGAGGATAATTGGCATGAATTTCCTGTCTCTCTCCTAAAATCCTGATACTTCCCTTAGGAATTAATCAATGATGGAGCAAAACTAATCACGTGAATGCATTCCCCTCGGAACTGTGAGAACTCAGAACAAAGTATAGATGGCATAGCCCTATAGTGGATTAAACAGGAAAAACTATTTGGTTTATTTGTGGTACACAAAGGACAGACAGGATTGTTTAAATCATGGGCTCAGTGGTCGGATTCAAATATGTGAACAACCGGTTCTCTTTATGGATGCCACTTCCAGAAGTCCATTCTTGGCCTGGGCAACAAAAAATTAGCTACCGATTCAGCCGAAGTGGTGCGAACTGGCTGAATCCCACCACTGCATGGGCTGATATGAGGCCTACATCACAGGATCATAAGGAAACATAAGGTAGTCTGATGCCAAAGTAAGTGGAAAGTGACTAAAAGTCATAGTAGGTAATTGTAAACATTTGTAAATATAGTCACATCAACTTTCTGCATAATGTTCACAGCTGATCCTACAACTTGCTGCAATTTTCTCCACGTAAAAGCTATACAGGATAGATGGGGGGGGAACAATCTGCGGACACTGTCCTTTACTCACCTTATGGACAAACTGCTCAACTCGAGTTTGAAGTCCCCACACTTCAAATTTCACAGATACAAGTTTGTAGGAGCACATAATGGGGTCTTGAGTTTCTCTCCAACCTTCTTTTAATAGGCCTCTCCCAGTCTTCTCTGATTTGAAGCATTTAGGATCCTATTGAGAACAAGAAGACTGAGTGAACAGCCTAATTAACATTGAAGTCTACCTTTGAAAAAAAATAACCACTTGTTGTTATAAGTCCTTGACGTACGACCACAATTGAGCCCAACATTTCTGACGCTAAGTGAGACATCTCTTACATGAATATTACCCCATTTTACGATCTTTCTTGTCACATTTGTTAACTAAGTTGTTTAGTTAGTAACATGGTTGTTCAGTGAATCTGGTTTCTCCATTGAATTTTCTTGTCAGAAAGTCACAAAAAGTGATCACATGACCTGGGACACACTGCAACTGTCACAAATATGAGTCAAATGCCAAGCGGCTGAATTTTAATCACATGACTATGGGGATGCTGCAATGGTCATAAGTGTGAAAAACAGTCATAAGTCATTTTTTTCAGTGCCGTTGTAACTTTGAATGATCACTAAATGAACTGTTGTAAGTCAAGGACTACCTGTACTAGTAAGAATGAAACTTCACAAACTTATTTCTATCTATGTCAGGAACAATGTTCACTTTGTGTTTTTTCCCCCTGTATTTATAATCATTACAGCTGGAAGCTGGTTGCTTGGAGAAGCAGACTGGAGATTTTAGCAAAACAACTATATTAATCCCAATTCTTATTCTTAAATCATTATTGAAGCATTTTTCCTAGCCCCATTTAACATTATCTCTAAATTGTATTTGTGAGTTTGGCAGACATATACATAAAATAAAATAATAAAACAAAACAAAATAAAAACTAATTTACATGAAAGCTGGGACATGACCACTAAAGTAATGACAAGGATAGAGAAAACTCGAACAGCATTCTTCAAAAGGAAAAAGGTCTTCTGCAGTCAGGACATAAGCCTAAGATTGAAAATCAGGCTTGTCAGATGTTGTATTTTTTCTATCTTGCTCTATGAGAGTTGGTCTCTGACAGAAGGCCACCTGAAGAGACTAGAAGCATTTGAAATGTGGATTTACAGGTGGCTGTTATGTATAAGCTGGGTTGACAAGATCAGAAATGAGGAGGTGATAACCTGCCTGGGAAAGCCAAGGGAAATCATCAAAACAATTAAAAAACGAAAGTTAGAATATTTCGGACATGTGATGCGACACCCAGAAAAATATGGCATACTCCATTTAATCCTCCAGGGAAAGACTGAAGGCAAACGAGGCCCAGGCAGAAGAAGAACATCGTGGCTTCAAAATCTAAAGGACTGGTTTACTTTTTTGTGCGGCTGCTGATAAAAACAGAATCACCAACATGATCGCCAACGTCCGATAATGGATATGGCACAACAACAAGAAAAAAATAATAAAATAATAATATAAAATAAAATAAAATAAAATAAAGAAGGTGTAAGCAAATAAAGAACTGAACTGGGGGAGAAGGTGTTGATTGTCAGTTGAGAAGATTCTTGCACACAGCCTACAGAAATAAATCTTCACGCATGGATGTGCCTGACATGATATAGGAGATGACCAAGCTGAGCCTGAAGGCTGGAGTCAAACACATGAATCAGCTTGGAGTCACTATGTCCTTGTAAGAGACCTATGTCCAACCCCCCCCCCCCGAAGTCTGTTGACTCCTATCTGGCACCATTTTGCCTTGACCATTAGTAGTTCAGATTCTTGTTTATAGGTAGCATGAAGTAAACTTGTAGTTCTTTTGAATTCTATCCTGGTTCCTAACTTCTTGCACCTGAACCATGAACCCAACTGGATCTTCCTATATCTAGAACTAGGGCCTGACATTTGCTTAATAACCACACGATTTACTTAACGATAATGACTGCTGTGACATGCTTTACCACCATTGTAAAAATGATTGTAAAATCAAGTCCGGTCAAATGATGCCTTGACTTACAATCACAATGTTTTAGGATCATAGCTCCACTATGGTCATAAGTCAAGGACTACCTGTATCTTCTTTGGTACCAAATAAAAATAGGTTTGCAATGATCACAAAATAGTATAGTCACGTTAAGCTGTACAAGGATCAGGGCAGAGGTAGTATATTGACTGGGTGATGATATTCCTGTTCAAAATTGTAAATATAGGCTAAAATTGAACACATTCTAGCAGGTTTCCATTATATATTATTTTTGTTGTAAATATATGCATTCAATTGGAACAGAGTAAGATTTATTAATAGGTGTGATCTTTTTGAAAAGTTTAACCTGCTTGAATACTCTTTGGGTTAATGGATAATGTATTTGCACATTTTAATTTTGATATTTCGGATAGATTTGCAACTAGCTCAGGTAGTTTTGATACCAGATAATTCTCGGCTTTCCACTCTCCAAATGCTCATCTCATTCATAATCCTGACAATCTAAAAGAGCTTCTTCTATCTATGTATTTGAAAGTAGGTTTTCCAAAATATATTTGGCACACTTCTCTCCTCCACTCCCACACCAAAAATAATTACATTTGGCGGCTTCTCTTTTTTCCCCTCTCTTTGATTCCAAAACAAATAAAGCACAGATAAAGCAGTACATCTGCCTTGGGAGTGCTCAAGACTTGAAAGTGCTATTTTAAAACATCCTGTGCTTGGCAACACAATGTACTGAAAACACAGAGCAATTTGTGCTATTTGAAAGGAAAATTAATTCCATCGAAATGAGTTTGCCACATAAATTATGTTTGACTGAAGCCCAGAAGAGAGCATTGGAGAATTCTAACATGAGTGATTGAAAAAGGTCTCTAACATAACACTTGCAGAGCAATTATAAAGTGAATCTTAAGTTAAACCTAAGTGGGTGGTTTTGCTTTTCACAGGTACTTTATGACAATTGGGAAAGAACACAGTGAAAAACATGTCTATGAGACTAAAAAGACTAAAAAGTTTTATTGCTCTTGAAGCCTTAGGTGTAAGTGGTACCACTGATATTATAAGAAAAACTCTATATGCTTAAGGGAATGTTATGTGTTTGTGTCTACATGTGTGTCACACGCATACATACACATACATATATAATTCTAAGGCACCTGACAAATTGATTTAGAAACTCTTGCAAATCTCTGATAATCTACTAATTTAGACAAAAACAATAATGAAATATAGATAGTTCTTGACTTACAACAGTTTATTTAATGACTGTTTGAAGTTACAACAGCATTGAAAAAGGGACTTAGGAGCATTTTTCACACTTACGACTACTGCAACATTCCCATGGTCACGTGATTAAAATTCAGATGCTTGGCAACCAATTCGTATTTATGACGGCTGCAATGTCCCAGGGTCATGTGATCCCCTTTTGCAAGTTTCTGACAAGCAAAGTCAATGGAGAAGCCAGATTCACTTAACCACTGTGTTGCTAAGTAAACAACTGCAGTGATTTACTTAACAACTGTGGCAAGAAAGGTCGCAAAATGGGGCAAAACTCACTTAACAGCTGTCTCGCTTAGCAACAAAAATGTTGGGTTCAATTGTGGTCCTAAGTCGAGGATTACCTGTACTACATCTACAAAGTAGACATTTATTGCAGGATTTCTTCCCTTTACTAGTGAACTAGCATCTGTTTGTATGCATCTGCTAAGAGTATTCAGCTAGAATCTAGCCTGGAGGAGACACACACTTCTGATATTTCATACTGTACACATTTCTTATTTATAGTTTAGTAGTCTACAAAGGGTGCATAAATCAAGATTCTAAATTGGGAGATCTGGGTTGACTTCATCAAGCTACTGTTGTAATATTTTTATGATATCCTTTTTGTTATTGGATTTGGCTGGGGTTTTTTTTTTTGCTATTGTTAGATTTCTGCTGCTAAGTAAGATATTGATTGAGTTTTGCCCCATTTTACCTTTCTTGCTGCACTTGTTAAGTGAATCACTGCAGTTAAGTTAGTAACACAGTAGATCTGGCTTCCCCATTGACTTTGCTTAACAGAAGGCTACAAAAAGGTGACCTCATGATCCCGGGACACTGTAGCCATCATAAATACGAGCCAGTTGCCAAGTGTGCAAATTTTGACCTCACGACCACAGGGAAGCTGCAATGGTCATAAGTGTGAAAAACTGTCACAAATCACTTCAAACGGTCACTATAAATGAATGGTTGTAAGTCGAGGATGACCTCTATTGTTTTATTTGATCTTCTTACTGTAAGGGAAGGAAGGAAATGTAAGCTCCTTAGAATCTCTCTGGATTGGAATAAGATATGAACTCTATTAAAATACCGATACTTTTGATCCATACCATACCAGAAAATCAGACCTTAAATCCGTTTTTAAACTTTTTTTTTTTTTTTGCAAAAAGGGAAGAGATTTGTGTTTTGATGCAAAACTGAGGGAATAGACAAGAAGAGTAAGCTAAGATTGGTGGTTGTTTCTGCAAACCCTGTACTGTATATGTACAAGGAAGCGAATACACTTATTATATTCTTGGTGGTTATAAATATAGAGAGCCAGTTTCATGCAGTGGTGAAGGCACCAGGCTAGAAACGGGGATGACTGAGTTTTTTCCCGCCTGAGCTATGAAAGCCAGGTGGGGTGATTTCACTCTCTCTGAGCCCAATTCACCTCCCGGAGTGGTTGTTGTGGGGAAAATAGGAGGAAGGAGTGTTAGGAATGTTTGCCATCTTCAGTTTACTTATAATAATAATGAAGGTGGGATATAAATAGATAAATAAATAAACCCACTTTTGAAAAGCCTTGATAAGAAAACTGCAAGGACCTATCCAGGCAATGACCAAGGACTCAATTTGAGTTGAAAGTACACAGATATTTAGAGAGCCAGTTTGGTATAGTGATTAAGGCAGGGGTCCCCAACCCCCAGTCCATGGACCAGTACCGGGCTGCAGCATGCCAGCAACCGGTCCACACAAACAAGCAAAGTCCCATCCGCGAGATGTAGGCAGCACACAAAACCACGCACTCTCCGGTCTGTGGAAACCCCTCTCTCCACGGAACCGGCCCCTGGTGCCCAAAAGGTTGGGGACCTCTGGGTTAAGGCATCAGGCTAGAAATGAGAGACCACAAGTTCTAGATCTGCCGTGGGCACAAAGTCAGCTCAGTTTCCTTGGGCCTGTAACTTTTTCTCGGCCTTAAGAAGGAAGCAATGGCAAACCCACTTCTGAAGATCGTCGCCAAGAAAACTGCAGGGACTTGCCCAGGCAGTTTCCCAGAATCGGACACAACTGAATGGAAGAAAGAAATGTTATAAACAGTCAGAATAGTCCTGCTTCATTTTGATGGCTCTGAGGAAGTCTCGTCTTCTTGAGGTGCCCATCGAAAGTAGTGCCTCTTTTCACAGGATTATAATTTTATCTATTTTATTTTTAGATCCTTGTGTGTTAATGATGCTATGCAAATGGATAAGTATGACTGAATGTAATACCGGATGCAACATTCAGCTTCCTGAAAATTTTTATCTTTTCCAATGGAACTTTCACGTGGCTCCTTGTGGCTGAAGGAAAGCAGAGGAGTGTATATGCAACGGCAATAAAATTTTAGAAAACAATTAAATAACATTTCTAGTGAACAGGAATGTAGTCAATGTGTGTTACATGGTTTCCTCTCACGGGAGAAGCAACATAAAATAAGGCAAACACAAGGAAAGCAGGCAGACCCTCTTTATTTGCATGAACTAACAGCTCTTAACTTTTTGTTTCCTTAAAACAAAGTGTGAATAAAACAAAAAGTTAAGAGCTGCTAGTTTTTTGGCAAATAAAAACGTTTGTTTGTTACCGTCTTTTTCGTAGAGTCAGAAGGATTGCCATCTACAGTAGCTCAGCACTATTGTTGCAAAAAGTTGAACTTCTGTATCCTCTCAAGTTTTGGAAAGCAGGAGGGAATGCTCTTTGTGACTGATTGCTACCAGCAATATCTATGTCATGTTTACTGTTTTAATCCAAATATTACATTGGGAGTTTAGATGTGAGAGACTGTGGGAAGGAAAGCAAGGAGCAGGAGGTGTAGTACATATAAGAAGAAGCAATACAGTCAGGTTGTGAAAGCTCTGGAAAGAAAGAAACTCACAGGGAATTCACAGTAAGTCTGGCTGGGAATAGTCTTACAGTTTTCACAATTAGTATTTTTTTTTTATTTTTTATCTTAGATTAGCATCTGAGAGGTCTTTCTGAAATCCACATGCTTCTTTGGTTTGCTAACTATATGGGGCTGGACAGCATGCCATTCAGATTCCAATGTTTGGAGTGGCATTTAAGAGGAAGGAAGGTCGCATTTGACAATTTCTTACTACTTGCAACCACTATGAATTCAGCAAAACTTTGCTGACCAATCTCCAGAATATCTTCTCTCCCTCCTCTGTGTACAAGAGGCAGTGCAGGACTCGGATGTTTCTTTTTTTTAATCCAGGAGAGAGCAATAAAGCTGTTTTAATAGTAAAGGGACTGACTGTGTTCCTACTGCTGTGCAGGTAGTCCTTGGTTAACGAATTGTTCAGCGACCGTTCAAAGTTATGAAAGCACTGAACAATAGTCCTCAGAGTTCTGGCTGTCCCAGACCCCCCACACTCACACAATCACAATCACAATCTAGCTCACACTTACGATGGTTGCCGTTTTCTGCAGTCTTATGATAGCCGTTTGTGACTTTCCCTGCTGGCTTCCTAGAAGCAAAGTCAATAAGGAAGCCGGCAGAGAAGATTGTAAGTTGTTCCTCTAAGTTGCCCCCCACTCCCACTGCTTTTCCCCCTGAGGACCTCAGCTACAGAGTAGTTCCATGGTGCACATCCATAGCATCTCCTGCCCACATTTCATAGTGCACAAATGCCTGGCCACACTGGCATGGTGCTGCATGGGCCACCAATGGCCCCTTCATGCACTAGTCCCACTATGCTTATGCTGCAGCAGACGCTTACTTGCCCACTGGCCGACTTGCAAATTCCTGCAGCTTCTCCACTGATTTTGCCTGTTGGAAACTGGCAGAAAGATGCAAGGAGGTCCTCTCTTAACAACCTGAAATCCTCACTTAATTATGCCTTGGAGAATGCCAGGATTGCTGTGGCTAAGCGAAGCAGTCGTATGACATCGTATATTATAACTCCATCACATAGTGATGGGAATTCTAGTCCCAGTTACTATCGTTAAGTGAGAATTACCTGTAGTGCAATCCCTCTTTCAAGAGAGCTAACCTGCTTAGCCCTGGTTCTTACGTCAGGCTTTAAGACATTTTAACAGAAGTTGCATGGGAGCAAGCAAGCCAGCCAGCCAGTGAAGGGGCACTGTAGTTTGGAAGGGGCTTCGTTTCTCTTGCCAGCCGGATCTATTGTAGGAACACAGCATGCTGTCCCAGAAAAACACTTGGCATCTATCTGTATATTTACAGAGTAGAATGAAAAATATCAGAAGACTCATATGGGGGCGTTGTAGGAGATTTTTAAAAAGTTCTAGCCATAGGTATACTTGTGTGAGAGGTCAAGTTCCAACCGTTACATCTTTTTTAAAAAATGTGATTTTGAGTCCCACTAAGAGAAGAAGCAGTCCTCTCTCTAACATAAGGAGTCTACCTAGTGAAGGTGAAAGTTGGAATTCTGGATTCTGCCCAACACACATTTAGGAAAGCGATTGGTGGTTAGCTTTCCCATTGATAGGTGACATTGTGTGGGAAGAGAAATAATCCATCATTTACTGCTCTGGAAGTCTTCTGCATGACATTGTTTGAGGACAGCAACACTATTGGCTGAAGAGTGATAAAAGCAGATGTGGAGGGCACGATTTTTATGTTGACATACTTTCTTCCCTGTCTCAAGGATGGAGGAACACTCACAAATGTGGTTGTATGGACAAGCCCTATGTCAGTCTTTGCTGCAGAAGCCATGCCTCTTGAACTGAAAATTTCCAGAACATGATCTGAAGAACTGATGCCATTTGGCTGACAAGAGACAAGGGCCACTGCTTTTTTTGTAAAAAAAAAAAAAAAAAAAGGTGCTGGAACTCACACACATCATACAACCCGCCTTGCCTACCCTATAAGGATCCATCCAAAAAAAGGTGCTGGAACTCCGTTCTGGGCGTTCTATGACAAAAAAAGCCCTGGACAAGGCTATAAGACTTACAAACACTGAAGTGAATTATGAAAATGCATTGCATCCAAATGATATCTCTCTATTTAGGGTTTGTGAAAGGATTTTTCAGTGCTGAAGTTAAAAACATGGAATATCAGCAAAGTGAATTCACAATCTGCACTGACTTCTGGAGGCCAGCCATTCACTGTTTAGGACAGGGGTAGGCAACCTTGGCTCTTTTATGACTCGTGGACTTCAACTCCCAGAATTCCTGAGCCAGCCATGCTGAGGGGAAAGGGGGAGGTTTCCAAGCTGAGCCATGCTGGCTCAGGAATTCTGGGAATTGAAGTCCACGAGCCATAAAAGAGCCAAGGTTGCCTACCCCTGGTCTAGGAAATTTCTCCTTAGTTCCGGGTTGGTTCTCCCCCCACTTCCCCAAAGTGAGGTTGGTTTCATCACTCCTGAGTTTCCAAGGTTTCTTAAGACCTGGTTATGCCAGCAAGCCCCAGCCAGGGGCTGGTGAATTTGTGAGGTGGCTCTATTATTATTAACTTCCCTTTGTTGCTATTTCTATATTTTGCTCTCTTTTTTAAAAAAATATTTTTTAAATGTTTTCATAATTAATAAGTGGTTTTATGTATTCATTCATAGTTTTAACTTTATTGTATGCCATCCAAAGTCACTTATGATGGGACAGATGGCTGTATAAATTAGATAGATAAATAAATGAACTCTAGATACCTCTAATGAGTTGCTTTCAAAATATACACATGCAAACATGAACAGCATCTGAGTTATAAAGAAGAGAAATTCGATGCCTAACCATGAAAAATCTTTCCTAAATTACTACATAATCTAAACAGCACAGGTAGTCCTTGACTTAGGACTATAATTGAGCCCGGAATTATGGCCATTAGTCATTGAAGTCATTAAGAGAGTCATTATGTGACTGGCTCTGATTTTACAATATTTTTACAACAATTATTAAGCAAACACTACAGTCATCAAACACCCAATGGGTGTTTTTTTTACTGGAAACTGGAAGTAAATACCAGAAATCAGCAAAAAAGTAAAAAAATCGTGGTCATGTGACTAGGGGACGTACAAATGGCCGTAAAATTGAGCTGCTTACCAACCATCCAAAATGCAATAGTGTGACTGTATGTGCATATGTTTGTGTATGTGGCTTTGCAACTTTGAAATCAAGTCCTAAGTACTTTGGGGGGGGGGGAAGGGAGCTCCATTTTAACACTGAATGTTCGCTAAGTGACTGATTGCAAGTTGAAGACTCCCTGTAGAGTAGTGCCTAAAAGCCACTGAGAGTGAAGGTTTAAAGAGGTTTAATGCAGGTAACAAGAGGTCAAACCCCAGAGTACTTATTTTAAAAAATGCAGTAGATAGAATGAAGGCAAACAGATGAAAAGGAAGCAGTCTGGGAATTGTGGGCAGAAAAATCATATATTGCTATTGTAGGGACAACATGGAACTTAGCACCTACTCCAGGCAGACAGTGCTACAGTATGTGTTGCCTTTGTGCTCCCCAAACATAGCTAGTTGGCTTTTGATAACCCAGGAAGCTAAACAGGCCTTTGGTCTGCTCTAACAGAGTCTTTCTCATATGCTTTAAATACAGCACAAATGTATGATCCAAATTATCAGACATTTGCATATGATATGTTGGAATATTTCTTGGTTTCAACTGGTTCCAACTTGGTTCCAACTGGCTGTTCCAACAGCCAAACTACTCCAGGATGGGAACATTCACCTTTGGGTGTTTTCATGAGTTACTTGCACAATATCAGTCAAAGGCATTATGTCCCTTACTTACTTCTGATTCTTTGTAATAGCGCTCAGGAATTTCATCACAGGCAATATCAATGAAGCAGACTTCTCGGTCAAGATCTTTGGCTTCGTTATCAAATATCTGCAAGATTTAAAATAAAAACACTTAAACGTTTTAGTAGACATATATTCTGAAGCTAAACTCTGTGGATATTGTGTACTGGCACAACTTGTTTCAAGGAACAAACCTACTGATTTCAAAAGTGGCAGGATATGTTCTTGGCCTTGGTTCCTAATTATAGGTTAGCCGTTGACAAATTGTGCAGGTTGCTGGCAATAACTTCAATGCACAAAACCCAAATTTACTTCATGCCTCGAACCCGTTTTCCATGTTATTCTCATAAGCGACAGCATGAAAATGTGATTTAAGAGGTAAGATAGAAAAAAAAATCAGAGGTAAGCAGCCCTTTACTAGCCCTTTCAGAGTAGAAGTAAATGTTTCCCTATACCAGGGGTTGGCAACCTTGGCTCTTTTATGACTCGTGGACTTCAACTCCCAGAATTCCTGAGCCAGCATAGCTCAGCTTGGAAACCTCTCCCTTTCCCCTCAGCATGGCTGGCTCAAGAATTCTGGGAGTTGAAGTCCACAAGTCATAAAAGAACCAAGGTTGCCTACCCCTGACCTATCCAGTCGTGTCCAACTCTAGGACACAGTGCTCATCTCTGTTTCTTGGCCAAGGGAGCCAGTGTTGTCCAAAAACATTTTTCATGGTCATGTGGCCAGAATGGCTATATGCCAAAGGCACCCAGAACACTATTACCTTCCCACTGAAGTGCTACATATTTATCTACTTGCATCTGCATGCTTTCGAACTGCTAGATGGGCAGGAGCTGGGGCAAGTAACAGGAATTTACCCTTTCATGTGGCGCTTGAGTCTCAAACCTGGGCTGTCAGCTTTCGAGCTGACAAGCTAACCGCTTAGCCATCACACCCCCTTTGAGAGTAAACCTATTATTATTCTCCATTGCTGTGACCTTGATATATGCTTCTAAAACATTAACCCTATTTTTGCACAAATAAATACATATTGTTCAATCCACAACTTCTGGGCTAAAAAGAATGTTCCAATTGGATTTGATTTGGGGGGAGCAGAGTCACTGAACATTTACAGAATTTGCTTCATTTATTTCTTATAAAGCTGCCTCATCGTTCCCAACCTCTTGATGTGTCATTCATTCCAGCTGAAAGCTAACCATTAGCCCTAATCAGCCAGTCTCTCTGAGCTACAGGCTCTGGTATCAAGATACCCCATTATCCATTGAAAGCAAATTAAATATTCCTGGCACTCAGAACTGCCTTTCTGCCCGCTCTTCCTGTCTAAATAAATGTCATACACCGATAGGACAAAGGCCTCTAAACATTTTTCTCAAGGGAAGCTTACTGCACTTGGTGAGAGCAAATAAACATAATAATAACAATAATAACAATAACAATGACGATGTTGGAAGGGACCTTGGAGGTCATCTAGTCCAACCCCTGCTCAGGCAGGAAACCTGGCCTATATAATTTCAGACAAATGGCTGTCCACTTTCTTCTTAAAAACTTCCAGTGTTAGAACAGTCACAGTTTCTGGAGGCAGGTTGTTCCACTGATTAATTGTTCTAACTGTCAGGAAGTTTCTCCTTAGTTCTAGGCTGCTTCTCTCTTTGATTAGTTTCCATCCATTGCTTTTTGTCCTGCCTTCAGGTGCTTTGCAGAATAGCTTGAATAATCCCAAATATTTTGAGATTCTATTCTAGGTACAGGTTATTATCTCTACAGATGTTTATGGTTCAAGTTCTCAGTACCTTCAAGGATCATATGCTCTAGGGAGAATTGGTGTGCCAAATATGTGCTGCCTGATATGGGATAGCAATAGCACTTAGACTTAAACACTGCTTCATTGTGCTTTACAGCCCTCTCTAAGTGATTTTACAGAGTCAGCCTATTGACCCCAACAATCTGGGTCCTTATTTTACCGACCTCGGAAGGATGGAAGGCTGAGTCAACCTTGAGGCGGTGAGACTCGAACTGCCAAACTGCTGGTGGTTGGCAGTCAGCAGAATCAGCCTGCAGTACTGCATTCTAACCACTGCACCACCAGGGCTCTGCTGCAGATCCCTTACCTCTCCCTGAACACCAGCAGGAGACAAGATGAAGGCCTTTTCAGTTATAACCTAGAATAGGTGCCTGGTTAGAACATTTAGGAAAGCTGTTAAGGCAGTTTCTTCTATAAAAACTTTGGAATGGAGCTTATTTACTATTTTGTAATTTTATTGCACCTTTTATGGCTTCATCAGACGCTAAAATCGCCCAGAATTGTCAGCTGAGATAGCACAGAAATAACAATGAAGCCAAATTAAACAAATGATTTATTTTTCTTTTCTTTTTGCTCCTTCCTCCTTCTGGTTAACAAAATAAAGTTAAATCTACATTGGCTTTTCAACATACCCATCTACAAAAATTCAAAGCACCGTAATACAGTACACACATTGGATAAGTACAGATGACCAATCTCATCATCACTTTGTAAAGTGTGCTAGTATGTGGTAACCTTGTCTTGTAGGGAGGCAGTTGCCTCACTAAGGTCATCTGTTGAATATGAATGTCTGATGTGAGATTTGAGTTACAGATCATCTGCCTAATGGCTGGATGGCAAAGAACTCTGCTTCCGTAAGATATTACTTTCATCTTCCCGATCAATTTTAAGTGGATCCTAAATCTAATAGATTTCACTCCTGGGATGTCTGAAGTTTTTATTCATGTATAATTTACTCTTGTATTCAGAGGGAGGTTTTTATCTCTTAGCTTGAAACACTCTCTGCTGTGACAGCATGGTCTGTGCATTTTTGATTTGATTTGTTTATCTAATACTTTATTGTATTTTAAATGATTTTAGAGGGTACTTTTTGCTTTGATATTGTGAAATTTATTTACATAAATAAATACCTACATCGGAAATAAGAAATGGAGCTATTTATATACTAACTCAATGTAGATAATTATTGCTTCTAGCCAAATATTCCCTGAAACATTTAAGAGTCTGTAGAGGGGATAATTTCATTAATTGTGCAGTTGAGCTGGGGATATTTAAAAGTTTTTAAAAGGAAAATTAAAGTTCATGGGGAAAAGCAGAAGGCTTTCCAACCACTTTTTTTTTGTGCTGGCAAAGAGCAGAAAGCAAATGGCAAGAACATTCTGTGTTCCTAACAATGTCAGGATTATAGAACAGACTCAGAAATATTATGATATGAAAGAGAAATTAGAGAGGCATGCCTTTTGGAAGTAATATAATATAGCAATATAAAACACTATGACTAAACCAAATCAAGAATTTTCAAGAACCAAAAGTGAATTATAAATTATTAACCTTTATAAAAATGTCAGGCATTTCTTTATTATGGTATTTACAAAGCTATTTGCCCAGTATTGATGGTAATGAAATCCAATGGAGGCTCACACTAGAAGAAAAGGAAGAAAGCAATTTTTGCACATTTTCTTTTCTCCATTCTCTTATGTTCTGGAACATTCCTCATTCCTCAGATTTTTAGGAAGCACAGGGGAATTGACTTAGCAGAAGCAGTCAAAGGTAGTCTGAATCAAATTTTTATTGCACAATCAAGACAGAATTTGGACCAACAGACCAAATATTGTATAGACAGGAATATGTTAATGACTACAGTCCTTTTTTTTATTAATTCCAAATGAAATTTAGCTGTGATCCCTGAACTTTGCTGGCTGATAAACTATAGGATTTGGCAAGAACTCTGTTATATCAGTAGAACATAAAATAAAGTGCTGCCATTAAAAATATGTTAACAGAATCCTGGAAAGGCTGATTCTGTTATTTTAATTCAAGTCACACCCATAAAGTCTTCAGGTTACATTCTCTGTGTTCTTAAATTAGTTCATTATGATTAGAATCAACCTTTTACAATATATTAAAAATTGAATTAATGAGAGAAAAGATTATCTGAGCTAGTGAATATTTTAATCTTAAATGCTATCAATAGACTCCAAATGAAATGTAATAATCCAGACTGAGAGGGGTTCCCCCCCAGATTAATACATGGTTTGCTTCAGTTTTCTAGAGAGTAATTTTTATATTTGCATATACTGCCAACTATTCCCCAAATAGCATATTACCAAATGTTTGATCTTCTAGTCTTCACAAAGACAATAAATAAGCAGAACATCAAAACTTTTAAAGGCTATTCCTGTGGCTTAGAGAACTTTGTTCTCTGGTTCCCATCATCTATAGCAGTGGTTCTCAACCTGTGGGTCGGGACCCCATTTGGGGTCGAACGACCATTTCACGGGGGTCGCCAAACAACGCAGTCCGCCATTTTTTCCCCCTTTTCCTTAGCTGTGCTACTCCCTTTTATTCTATTGGCTTTTGAAAGCCAATAGAATAGACTCTCTTGAATAGAGTCTAATTCTATTGGCTTTCAAAAGCCAATAGGAATTGTCCAGGCTGTCTCTGCCCTGCTGAGCCCGCCAAAAGTCCCATTCTGCAAACGGTGCTACACCAGTTGAGTAGTCCTCGACTTACGACCGGTTGAATAGTCCTCGACTTACGACCGGTTGGAGGGTCGCGGCATTAAAAAAGTTGAGAACCACTGATCTATAGTGTGTTGTAATCATAAAATGTAGTAAGTTTAGAAATGTATAGTATCCGTTGTTGTGTTCTTGCCATTTAGCCTGCAAGGTTGCAGTTCCTGCTTACTTTTGCACTGTGCTCACCTAGCTTTTCCAACTAATCGATCAATGCATAATAAGGGGAGGAAGGGAAGGTATTAGCAGGTTAGTTGCAGAGAATGACATTGATTATGACAACTGATTCTTTGGAAGGACAAATACTGAAGCTGAAGCTCAAATACTGTAGCCACTTAATGAGAAGCGAGGACTCATTGGAAAAGACCCTGATGTTGGGAAAGTCTGAAGACAAAAGGAGAAGGGGATGGCAGAGGATGAGATGGTAGGATAGTGTCGTCGACACAATGAACATGAATTTTGGCAAATTCTGAAAGACCGGTGTGTGTGTGTGTGTGTGTGTGTGTGTGTGTGTGTGTGTGTGTGTGGTATGCTATGGTTCATATGGT